CAGCGTCACCAGGTTTGGGGACGGCGAGATCCTAAGGGGACCTCAAGCCGAGAATTGGCGAGAGCCTCTAGAGGTATTCCATGAGGCGGATGGCGTCACCCCACGGGGGAAGTCTCCTCTCCGTCTGGAGCCTCTAGTTCGGTCGAACCTGAGGGGGTCTCGCGATCGCATCTCGCTGCGCAACGAGGCGACACGTACTTGTATTGCCAACGATTTTACGATGCGTGTATGGCGGTAGGCAGCGCAGCGCGTAAATCACTGGCCTCTTTCAGTATCATCGCGTCGCGTCGCGTCTTGGTGTGAACTGACGCTTACTGGTAATACGGTTATGTAGTTACTTTATAATGGTCGTAATCGTCATACTTAACATAACGTTATGCTTCTAGAATTTGTTTTAATTGACACTATAAAGTGTTTTAGTTTGTTTTATTAACCAAAGTATATAAAAAATTGGAACGAGACGTGCGTAGTAGTAGTATGCCTATTACGAAAAATATTTATATTAAATTGCAATATAGTACCTACCTATCTTTAAATTTTAACAGTTTACAAATATTTATTAAACATAGTCAGCTGAAAGGCTGGAATACCAACTGTGTATAAATACATAATGATTTTTTGTAGCTTCTGCTACTTTATTATGCTGCTGGTTTTAGTAATGGGGTATTGTGATATATGAATCATAGAAACTACTTACCTGACGTACATTTTTGTCTTGTGCAAATATTGTGGTGCTATTGGTGTATTCTTTCGTCGCATACCTATAGCATAGCTCGTCTTTTTTGCACATCTCCAGAGAAAAACAGCATTATTATAAAGACAGTTTATATTAAAACGAAATAGAAGGTTTTCGTTTAGAACACACGGACATAAGAAATACATATTATTTATATATTAATAAATTTAAATCTTAAATATTTAACTGCTAGATGTCTTTATCTAAAGAAGATTTTACTGAAAAAAAATATATAGATTTTATTATTTAAATTCCTACTTATAGATATTGTTACTAAGGGCCCGTTAAATAAAGTAAGTCTGCCCTATTTAGTGTTTCGCTTCCCAAAATAAGTCTAGTTGAGTAAATCGCGATTGAAAACAAAACAATATGTAATTTTCTATGAAAAAAATATACTTACAACTAACTTAATAAAAGTTGTCACACATGTCACATATTTCTTAAATAAAATTTCAAAAGAGATTTCAGCTTCAAGCTTAAAAACATAGAAGATTTGCCGCTCGAATTGGAGCACCCGTCAGGGGAAGTAAAACAAAGTTTAATTAATAATTTGTTTCTTTCATTTATCCGGTACATGAACTAATAAAAACTGTTTATTCGTTAGAGTGGCCTTCCATGGTTCACCCACCTTAAGTGAGATTGCATCTTACAGAATACCTATGCTGATCTAAACTGAAGTAGCGTGGCGCAACTGAAGTATGTAGTTGGAACTTTACCTATTCATTGTGAAACAGGCCCTAAATATGTTATATTAATTTATGTTACGGGTACCTTTGTTTTTAGCGAGTCTCCGATATTTCGGCACTGTTGCAAGTTGCAAGCGTTATAGCTACGGAGTAACTGAAGTAATTACGGGTACGATGTTATTGGCAGACATATCGCGGTCTAAGTATTAAGTAGTAAATATGGATCACTTTATTTTATACTGCATATTTTATTTACCTATTCAATTGTTAACAAATAGAAATAATAAACATCAATACTTTTTCACTATTACATTTCCAGAGCACGTAACAAGAGGATTCTAAAAAGGCACTAATGACTGAAATTGCTCATTATTAGTAAATAGAACTTTAAAAAAAAATCCAACTTTAATTAAAATTATTTTCTCGATTGAAATTTTATTTTATTAAATTAGACGACCTCCGTGGCCGAGTGGTTTGTACGCCGGGTTTCATGGTGTCGCCGACTCGAGAGGTCCCGGGTTCGAATCCCGGTGGGGGCAGATGTTTTGTGTGATGAATACGAGCATTTGTACTCCAGTCATGGATGTTTAATATGTATTTCTATATAAATATTCTTATATATGTACAGTATATGTATTCTATCCGTTACCGTAGTATCCCATAACACAAGCCTTACAGTGCTTACTTTGGGGCTAGGCTAATAGGTGTGAGTGTGGAAATATTTATTTATTTATTTAATCTCATTGATTAAAGCGTCGTTGTATTGTTTTGGAAAGAGATACCTTCTGAATATTCACGGTAATCAAACAGCTTTTACTCATATCAAGGTTTTTATTTTTGCCTGGAAATGCATTAAAATTTTACTTCATATAAATAATTAATAATCTGTCTATACTGATCCATCATTTATTTATGAATGTCGTAAATCATCTACGAATATCGTAAAATTAGACAGGCCCACCACCATAATTGAGAGTATGGAAAGTGCTTTTAATGGGCAATATAAGGAGATTTTAAGTGCCATCATAATAGCTTTCATCCATTCACAATCTTTGTTCCAACTAATAAACAGTTTAAAGTTGTTGTGTATGCTATGCACAACAACGAAAATATAATTAAGTCTTGAAATTTGCTCAAGCGAAAATCCGTATCCCATGAATTGGCTGAATATGAAACATGCAAATATACTATATCTGTCAAGACAAATTACATACATAATTAATATACATAATACAGAAACACACACACGCATGCACAGAGGCAGGGAAAAAACAAAATCACATTCAATAAAAACTCCATATTTATAATATGTCGACTCTCAGTGGGCGGGCTCCCCATCGGTTGGACCGACGATCAATTGAAGGAATAGGATTCGATCTCGAACCTTATTTCTAATCTTGGGATTTCAGGATCACATTTAGAGTCAGACTAACCAAACTCAAAACCATTCTGTCTTTATATTAAATTTCAGAACCATTGATATTTCTTCAAAAGTTACCCATATAAATTGTGTAATCTTATAGGTACGTAACATATTATGTGAATAAACTTTGATAAATTAATTAATCAGTAAAAACGTTCGTTAACATAGACTATTATTCACTTTTACGTTATAATCTAGTAAGTAACATTGTTTTAAAAAAAAAGGATTAAAAAGTACCGTAATATTAATCAGTCACATTCACAATAAACAAACCTTGAAAGATCTGATTTAAATTTCGAAAATAAATCTTACAAATATTAACGCGTCCTGTGCCTCATTAAGTCATCACCAAGCTTTTTAATGATATCAATTCCGAAAATCCCGGATTCAGGTAAACTTAGTCTCGAATTTTTCGAGACTGAAAAATGGTCGGGATCCCGATCGCGATCGAATCCTCTAATAAAGGACATTGGGCAAAAATGTATGGACGCTGCATCCACGTCCGCCACGGCTTAAACTACATTTGTTTGAAAGTTATTATAGTCATGATCAAATTCCACCCCGGGGGTCTTTAGTTATTTTTGGTTAAATAAGTACAAGTTAATAGTACATACGTATAACAAACGAACATTAATAAAATAAGGGAATTAATTTAGTTAGTTCGACTACATAGAGGGCTCAGGTATTATGGGAGTACTCCATAAGGTGCAAGGGTGCTCCCTTGTGTTATTCTGCCGCGTTAGAGTAAATCCAAAAATCCCCGCATGGGTTGGGGTTTTTTCAAACAGTCTGTTCGTAATAGTAAATTCTCTTCTATATAAAACGGAGTGACCACAAATCACACAAACTTGTCCACTCTTCGAAGAAAAAGTGATTTCAGTTCATCCATACTAATTGACAAAACCGATAATCGTGTTCCAATATCCAAAGCGTGTTAGATAAAAATCAATCAAGTGACCGTGAGCGCACAATCACAACGAAGTAAGTCGACAATTTGCAACTGCAAATCCTTCAACCCCCGTAAACCGTTTTGAGGTGGTTCAGTAAGTGCAAGCGCGGGATGGTCGGCAGGCTTTGTCATCTATATCTGGTTGTATAGTACGATATGGCATATTATTATGGTTACTAGTAATATAAAATGAAGGCACTATAAAGTTAATTTATTTAGCTACTTTAATAGTAAGTGAATTCACTTTACATGGGCATATTTAATATGCCCATTTGTCATGTCTTTTGACTACCAGGATATTTTTTTACGGTGTCATAATAAAAAAGGCTAGTTTTTCATAGATCTATCGATTCATACTAATTACATTGTTGGCGGAGCTGGGTGCGTTTTGCCCATTGTCCTTTTAGGTCGCGGGAAGCCGCTGGATGCGGACAGCTCGGATCAATCAACGTTGAGAACTTGAGATCTTTGGGGGAGATATTCTCAGCAGTCATGGGAATAGTATGGTTGAAACATGACCTTTTTCACGCCATATCATGAGAACGACTTTAATTTGTAGAAGCACATGAGTGAAGAAATGCACAATTGGTAGAAGATTCTTATGGTTTTTTTTAAACTTAACTTACTCGTTGCCGGATAGGCGGGGCGCGGCGTTACGGTCAAGCTTTAGGATCTTTATATACTTTTATTAGGCAGGACATCGTCTGTCTAGTAACCACAGAAATAAATAAAATTTTGAGGGTGATACAAAATTTTAATGAATCCCGTCTGCTGCGCGTGGATTTTTTTAAGTAAAATTTTCTTTAGATTTAAACATCTGCTAGTGCTTAAAAAATAAATAATATAACAAAATTTTAAGTTGATTTATTTACTGAAACTAATTTATTGAAAGTTGGCCAAAATTGATGCCAAAAAAAATGTTTATAATTAAAATTAGAAAACTTTTATATTTCCTTATTATTTGTAAAAAAAATTAAGACGTCGAGTTTCAAGATTCCCCCTAAGCCGCTTCTCGGAGTTCTCGGTTGAGCCATAGTTGAAATAAATGACAAACTTTTCTAAAGTGTGAAAAGTGTATTAAAAAATAAATTACCGTTAGCATAAAAATATGTTTCTTTCTAGTGAGCTAACAAAGAAGACTGGCGATGTCGGGCACTTGATGATTTGAGCGATTAAGTTTGATATTTTATTACTTTTAATTTGCAGGTTTTTTCTCTAAGTTGTACACTTGGATATCTAACAATACCTGGTTCAATGGCGGATGGTTCGACGAGGCACCCGCCGAGAAATCTTCCACAACCACTACTGTATCGCCGCAAACCACTACTCAAAACAGCTGGTTTCAAAGCTTACTGGATTCTGAAGAAAACGATGACGGTGCTTACGTCTTAAATGTAGCTCGTAAGTTTTGATTAAATACATAACCTAACCTGTAAGCAGAGCGGATTATTCGCCTGGTTTAGAACGCCAATCTCCCTAGATAACAAATCAGGTCATTCTTACTAGACAGCACCAGAAGAGGTGTTATGGTTTTAACGTGTAAGTTATGGATATTTCATTTAAGCATTCTCTGAAACATTGAAACATAATATCAAAGACAAATTGTTGAAAAAATACAGAAAACGGCTGTAGACTACCATTTCAAGTGTTTATAGGGTTCCGTACCTCAAAAGGAAAAAACGGAACCCTTATAGGATCACTTTGTTCCGTCTGTCTGTCAAGACCGTTTGTCTCAGGAACGCGTGGTGGTATCAAACTGAAATTCATATCTAATACTCATGTCTACTGACCCTTGGAGCTGAGCTAAAAAATCAAACTTCTAAGCCAAAGCAATCAAAAGATACAGCCGTTTATACCTTAATTTTTTTATTAGATCATATAATAAAAAATATTTTTGATAAAGTTACTACCTCTTTGCTCATGAACGCGTAGAGGTATTAAATTGGGTTTGTTCGGAACCCTCGGTGCGCGAGTCCGACTCGCACTTGGCCGGTTTTTGAATCATTTAGTCTTATTCTTATACTGAGTAACGTTGTCATAACTACACGGGATAACGATTATGGTCAACACAGAACAGGAAATGGGTCAAAGTAGGCAATGCAACACAAGTCACAGGTACCTGTTAAAGCAAACGCCCCATATTTGGTCTGCGATTGCGGCTTACCGTTAGTCGGGCCATATGTTTCTTTGACAACAATTTCACGTGAAATAAATAATGAAACTCTATTTTCTTATATGTTTTTTGGAAATTTGACAAATGAACATGCGGTTTCGAATGCCCAATGCATTGACTTAAGATTTCGCTTGGTCCAAGGTATTACTTCATCCGCCGAAAGTGAAAATACCATTACTCTCAAGACTTTACGTGTTTTCCAGTCCAGTAACTGTCCGTCCATCCATTAACCATTTGCGGCAGGGTCATTATTATAACTTGAAAAGGAAAGACAGCGCTAAATGTATGAATGATACGTACAATAGGTACTTACTTTCGTTTTGACGTCCTACATTTTGCAATCTTTTTATTTCAGAAAAAAAATCGGCAAAGAAGTCAATGAAAAAGAATTATAAAGGGCACCAATTACTGCGTGCGTACCCTGACGCGCAGAGGAAAGTTAACGAGCTCCTAGATCTTCGCGATGAAGCTAAGGGTTCGGGATTGATGTGGTGGTCTTCACCTTCCTTGAACGGTTCCACTGATCTCTTAGTGCCGCCTGATCTCCTAGTAGACATTAAAGAACATTTGAAGTCTATAAAAATTGATTTCGATGTAATAATATGGGATTTACAGGTAGCAAATTTTATACGGCAAGTAAGGTTTGTACTGTTTAAAAAGTAAAAGTGAAAATTATGAAAATTTGTTTTCAGAAAGCTATTGATTACGAAAATCCCAAGTTGTCTAAGAAACAAAGGCTAGAATTGGAACAACTACGCGGTCACCCGTTAACGTGGAGGCGGTATCACCGCTATGCTGACATCTTGCGATATTTTGAGTTCCTTCATCATTCTCACGGAGACCTGGTAGAGCTAGTGCCTCTCGGTCGATCTTCGGAGGGACTGCCATTAGTAGCTGTTAAGGTAACTAAAACTCTTATTAAACGTTGCCCTTTTTTGGGTGGCAACTTGTAACTCATTATTATTAAAAACATCTAAATAACATCAATGATGATGCATAACAAAAATGTTCAGGTTGCAGAACAGAAAGATAAGATCATTAACGTAGGGAAAAATTAAGCCGACGTACGCAACGTATGCTATGCATTCTGACATCTAAACTACGAAATTTGTATCAAAACATATGACTTGGAAACACACTGGTCGTATACAACGTTGCATATGGCAAGTATGTTTCCAAGTCATATGTTGCCATACAAATTTCGTACGTTAGCTCTGTTTGTCCCTACCTTTAATGTGTCTTAAAAAAGTTAAATTAATAAGGATTAGATACTTTAAGAGAGGTAAGGCATAGCGGATTTTCCACACGAATTAGAGCAACCGTCTATGGCAGTCTACCTCCGTCTTACAGAAGACCACACTAAAATAACACTTGGTGTGTTGTGTTTCTGTCGGTGAGTAAGGTTCCGTGGCTTCGCGGGGTAGAGGATGGTCAGGGCAGGCAAACGCGCGAGCCGCGGATAGTCGGCAACGGTTGCCGCGACCACACCCGCACTCCCGGCGTGCATTGGGGGGACTGCGGCCCTCAGAATGTACGCCGGGTGACCGGTGCAGGAGTATTGTCTGGTTTTTAGTGGCCCTGTTCAGGGCGTTAGGTAGGGCCCTGCTCATTTCACCCGGCCTAAGGGCTGGCTGAAATCAGCAGGGAGGAGTCCCACATACCTTCTTCTCGCTCCCCCGGTGGTTGAATCCTTCAACCACCGGGGGAGCGAGAAGAAGGCTTAAAGCATTTCCCAGACAAAAAAAAAAGGCAAACGCTCGATTGATATTTTTTTTATCGCAAGCGTCTAACTATGGTGGCCGCCACAGGCGACATCTTGAAACCCGGCGTCGAAAGCGCTTTGTTAGATATGGATTCATAAACACTTAGAAAAAAAAGCCTATTGAAACGTTTGATTTAGAAAATCCTACTCAGTTTGTAAGTTTGTGTGTTTGTTACTCGAATATGCAAAAACTACTGAACTGAACGGATTAAGATGAAATGTGGCCGCTTAGCATCAGCGTGCCATATGCTTCTTTGCCACTCTTTTAACATAAAAAAGGAACATGAAAAAATGTCATCTGTATTTCTAGATTTCATTGCCGGCCAATGATAGCTATGCGAAGGAGGCGATTAAAAAGAAGTGGAAGTTGCGATCACGCATGAAGCCCGTAGTTTGGATCGACGGCGGTTCCCACGCCCGAGAGTGGATCGCCCCAGCAGTCGCCACGTGGATCCTGCACGCACTTATAGAAGGAGAAAAAGGATTAGGTTAGTCTTTTACTGAAAACCAGCCGCTATGCTATTGGTTGAATAATGATCTTTAATGTACTGTGCCCCGTCAATTGGTTCGCGGGTAATTTCGTTTTGATATGCTGACATAGCAATTTTTTGGTTAACATTACTTAGAGAATAAACCATTCTTTCATAAGAATATTTTATCATTTTAGGGTTCCGTAGTCCTGACGAGGAACCCTTATAGTTTCGGAATGTCCCTCTGTCCGTCCCCTGTTTTGCTTAAAGTGATAAGCACTGGACAGCTGTAATTTTTTGGAGATATGTATATCGATCACGCCGACAAAATGGTAGTGAAAGATATTTTTTTAGGGTTACTCCGCTACATATCACCTGCAATTTTTTTTTCATCATTTACCCCATCATGTGTGTTTTCGTTGAATAGATCCTTTAAAAGTACTTAGGGATTTCTAAGACTAGTTTTCGATTTAGGGATCGTTTTGCGAAATATTCAACTTTAAAGTGCTAAAAATTAGATCGAGAACCCCTTCTCTAAAAGCTTGACTTGAAAAAACCTTAAAAATAATCATGATTTTCATGAACCTTTAAGAATAACTATAACGGTTAAGAAAGATTTTTTAATTTAAAAGTAATAGTCGTTCAACTTTGGTTAAGGAAAATTTCTTATATATTGAAAAAAAATTTTTTAGAAGAAAACATTAATAGTAACTTGGATAAAGTTATTGTAGCGTAAAACCTTGCATAATCGCTTCAGATGAAGCTAGTAAGGCCCTTCTGGCCATAAGCATGAACTACGGGTGTGTTTTAGTCAGTAAAAGTCTGACATAACCTTGCAGACGGCTTTAGGGTATACATCAGAAAATAAAGACTCCTGCTCAAATATACTGTAGTTACTACAGCCAACTACGGAACCCTACACTGCGCGGGCCACGACAAGCACTTGGCCGGTTTTTCAGTTTTTATTCGCATTTTGTGGTCAGTATCGTCATTCACCAGTAATATTTTGATATCATTAAATATACCAATTTTTATCATTCCTTACAAAATAAACCCTTCTCTAATAATAATACTCTATCATTCATACATTTTTATTAGCATTTTGTTTAGTTCGCACAATTTTCATATGTAAATTAATTGAATTATATTTATGTATGTATATAATTGTACACATTCTTCATATTTTGCTTACGCAAATATGATCATTTGTGTCGCAATCTCGATCACAGCTCACGTGGCTACCAATTCGATTTCGCCGGAATACTCACATCCTCACACTTCTCTACAATATATTGTTCAATCCTTTGTCCCCGCGCTATCAAAAGGAATGCTTCAATTACCTTCATACCTCAAATGCGTTATCTTTTAGGTCATCAGAGAATTTAACCCTGAAAATTCCCACTCATGACACAACTTTCTATGGTCGTTCTTTTGCCGTCCAAGCTGTTCGCCTGTGAAATTCTCTTCCAGTATCCATAAGATGAGCACAATCTATTCATAATTTCAAAAATCTTGTTTTCAACCATTATTTGTCTATGTAACTGCAATTTCCTTTTTTTGACTGGATTAAACTTATATATGTGTAGTCTATATAGACTAGATATATGTATATGTCATATATTATATGTTATAGTAATATTATGTGTATATATTATGTATGTATGGTATGTTTATATATTTAATATATATAGTTATATTCATTTTTATATCCTTTGTTTCTTTTATAACACCACCGACTCCAGTTCCATTCAATCCTCTCCATCCAAAGGTTGCCTGGAAGAAATCGCTTTAAGCGATAAGACCGCCCATTGAATCACTGTTTAAACATAATGTATTTACCCCATTTATGTACTGTACTGTGGTGTTTTCAATAAAGAATTGTGTATTGTACTGTATATATTATTACCTATATCACTCAATTGATTTACGCCGCCGTCTTTCCCACTTCCATCTAGTCCTCTCTATCCAAACGTTGTCTGGAAGAGATCGCTCTCAGCGATAAAGCCACCCATTGTTACACTAGTTTTAATTGGTTATATACTAAATGTAATGTTATCTGTGGTGTACAATAAAGTGTTTTGTATTGTATTGTATTTTCATCAAGTTAGAATTAAATTATCCAAAAATATGGTTTTAAATAATATTTATTTCAAATATTTTTTTTCCAAATGCTCAATAAATTAGCAGGGCGTAATCACAAATCATGAACATTTAATATTATTTTAGTCAACCTACTGTCTGCCTGCCTGGAGCGGAGCCAGTAGGGCTCAACTATATATATACCTAGTCAGGTCATAAATTCTGTCACATGTTTAATATAAAATAATTGATAGAAGTTTATTCAAAATGACCTCCGTGATTTTGAATACAGGCCTTCAATCTGTGCGGCCAGTCGTCTATCGCAGCACGAACGAGGTCCATGTCAATATCGGCGGCTGCCTTAATCAAGGATGTCTTGAGTGACTCCAAATTGGGATGAGGCTTTGAGCTCGCCTTTTCCTCCAAGTGTTGCCACATCTTGTAATCTAACGGACTCAAATCTGGACTGGAGGTGGGCCAGTCTTCGTGCCGGATGAAGTCGATTTCACGCGCCGCCAGCCAGTCTTGTGTGCTCTTCGCTCTATGAGCTGGCGCCGAATCTTGTTGGATTACCCAGTGCCTGTTATTGAATATGGTACGAGAAACAGGTTCCACAAGGTTCGTCAGGACTGTATTTTGATACACAATTGCAATCGTTTTTACACCTTTTTCACAAAAATGTACCTCTGTTAAGCCCCAATAACAAACTCCCAACCATACCATGAGCGAGGATGGAAAATGATCTCGTTGGACACGCGGAATACGGTTGCTCGCTTCTTCACTACTGTGTGCGTACACCTTATCATTTTGTTTGTTGTAGCTCTCTTCTACGGTAATCTGTAGGAAGATGGCATTTTTGTTTTCATGAACAATTCGAAATCAATAAACTTTTTTGTGGTCAGCATTCTAAAGGAAAAGTTTTTACTGTGTGTCAATACTTATGACCTGACTGTGTATATATATATGTTTTTTTGTGTGTTTGAATATAGGGTATTTAATTAGGGTTTTTGTGGGCCTGTGCAATCAGTGAACTTTGCTGTTAGATGCTTAGCTAAGAAATTATACACAGGAACTGAGTACGAGGTTTTGAAGCAAGCGGACTTCTACATCATGCCTGTACTGAATCCCGACGGGTACGAGCACTCTCATACGCACGACCGTCTGTGGATGAAGACGCGCTCGCGTCTCTCCGATTACACCGACGATTACTTCGACGGCTGGTAAGTGACACAAAGTGATACAATTAAAAACAAGTAACCCGAAGAGAAATCTAGACACGGCCGACGTTGTAAACCACCTACTTGCAGTATAACTACGGCATAAGGCCTTTTGCACATTCCACGAAATTTTCTTGTGTCTTATGAGAAATGTCTTATAAAAAATTCAGTCGCATTGATTGTTATATGAGACCGTACATATTACAAGATATTTTCCTTAGGTCGGATAAGAGTCGAGAGCGAATACTAGTCATTTTGTCGGCTGCATGTTCGATGTCGTTTTGTTTAGAGACGACATGTACTCAACTATGTAAACAAGTTTGCGCGTACACATTCGGCGCAGCTGCGTTAAATAGCGAAAATTGTCCACCCTTTCATTGAAATTAAAATTTTTATCAAACATGAGGACCATAAAAGTGAACATGGAACATTTGAGAGCTCTAGTAGAAGAAAGACCTGTAATTTGGGACAATACTTGTGAGGAATATAAATTTAGGGATTTGAAGACCACTGCCTGGGATGACATATGTTTCATATTAATAGAAAATTTATATAATGGATACCTCCAATGAAGCCTACAACTACGGCGTTTTCTCCTATGGTATAAGTATGCAATCAATAATAGACGCTGACGTCTGTCCATTTCGTACGCGTGTATCCTCCGTGTTTTGTGGCTATAGACTGAGGACAAGAAGTCTTTCTTGCAGAATGTGTACGATAAACCAGGCAAGACACAAGTCTTATAATGTGCAAAAGGCCGTATTGCGTGCATCAATGAACTTCACTAGCCTGCATTTGCAAGTGTAGAAAAGTTTTCATTGAACCATCAAACGTCAATGTATGTAGAATGTAAGGGCAATGTTACATTGTTTTTATTTTTTAAATGATGCAGGTTATTTCATTGAATAAAATCAAAAAATATAACCACCATGATACAAACATATTATAATTAACTACTAGCGGCCCGCCCTCGCTTCGCTTCGGTGTAGAGCTGAAGTGTAGACTACAGTTTTTGTTCTCAGGCTTGTATTATACACAATTATATTCATCTACGATTCTTCTTATACCTGCATGCAAAGTCTCAGCCCGATCGGTTTAAAATTGACAAAGTTTCATACAAACTTTCATCCCTTATTTTATCCCCTTGGGGGTAGAATTGGTCAAAATCCTTTCTTAGCGGATGCCTACGTCATAACATCTACTTGCATGCCAAATTTCAGCCCGATCCGTCCAGTAGTTTAGGCTGTACGTTGATAGATCACTATGTCAGTCAGGCACCTTTTTAGTTTTATATATGTATATAGATTATTATGGACATTATTACCTTCCATGAAAGAGCTGTACCCCTAGCACGAACCATTATCGAATTCGAATAGTTTGCAAACCAAAATGTCAATGTCAAATTTTGTATGGAAACTTGTACAGTAGCGCCACAAAGTGCGTAACGTGAATTAAAAATCAGTACACATTTCCAGTAACGATTCGAATTCGATATTGGTTCGTGCTAAGGGTACTGTTGTGAACATTTTTTATTGGGAGAAGATATTGGTACGAGGACCTTTAGCTGTTTTATCAGAAAAGAAGCGATACAACTCCAAGAACATTTTTATTTGATTAATAACAACAATATAAACAATAACTACGTGATAATCACTTTACACATGCACGCATTTATACTTTTCTTCAAAAATAATAACTTCACGCTTGTTACTCAAGTAAAAGCGTTTGACAGTGTAAACAAGTTCAATCTTATCTTTATTTACATAAAGTACAAGTATACGAGTTTCCTGTGAAAGTATGTTTATCTGTGTCGCCAAACCATTATTTCTAAATAAACCCATTTTAAAATTAGATTCCCTACGTGGAAAATGCAATTTAAATCTTTAGAGATGCTTTCAGAGGATGCCTTTCTTAAATAAATATCTTATCCTGATTAGGTGTAGACATTCCTATTTTTTGGTGCTAATTTAAATGTAGTTATATGATTTTTCCATCAGCATCCTTAGTACAGAGACTATGAGACCTTTATTATGTATAGGTACAGGTACCTTTTGTATATCAACATCCACACATTCCGCGTACGAGTCCTCCTAAGATTATACCTCCTCTCCTATGTGTATTTCTGTAACCACCACGACCAGATTGTTACTCTTCTTACTCCCATCCTTTATTTATTTATTCAGTTTCACATGCTGATTTACAGAGCTAGTCCAACACACCAACAAGTCAATGCAATGCAAAACAAAAACATTCATTATATAGAAATAGTCATAAGTGGAATCACAATTAAAAAGTCAAAATTAAAAATAAACATACATCAAAGTCAACGAAGTTACAGAATCAAAAATGTCAAAAGATATAATTAAAAACGTGAAAACAATAAATAAATTACAAATTAAAATAAACTAGGAAATACACTGTCAAATGTCAAATTACAGATTAAAACCCAGAATCTAAAATCTGGCGAGTCATGGTAATTAATCTCCCTAGACCGTCAGCAAACAGGTCTAAGTGATCGTATTGAGCGAGCATGTCCCCGATCAGGCGCAATGCACGTACTGTGGGCGCTTGGGCAGCGTGGACGGTTCGGGTGCCAGGCCACTCCAGCAAGCGCGGCCGCCGGCGCGGCTCCAATAAACCCTCGGCATCACGCGGGATGCGAGTAGGTACCAAAAGGCGTACTCTTTCTAGCAGGTGTGGCGAATCAATCTTTTGGTAAATAATTGATAAATAGTGTACAATGAAGAGCAATTTCCTTCTCATATCCAGTGCTTCTAGGTCGACCATACATACCGTAGACAATAGTTGATGGATACAAGAACGGATAATATCCATAGTTTTTCTTGTACAACCATCGAGCAAATTTTCGTTGTATCTTTTCTATCATGAGGCAATATTTTTTTTCGTGGGTGTCCCAAATTACTGCCCCATATTCCAATTTACTACGTACGTAGGCATTGTATAATACTCTAGCCACTAAAGAACTACTAAATTCGGAGGAAGTTCTGATAATGAATCCCAGGATCCTACTCGCCGATTTGCATACGTTTATCACGTGTTGGTGAAAGTCCATCTTAGTATCTAATGTTAAGCCTAAGTCTCTAATTTTGTCAACTCTTTCCAAAGGAGCGTCATATATTTTATAAATACTTTGAATACAGGACCGCTTCCGCGTAAAAGTTATTGTCTTGCATTTGTTGCTATTGAATGTCAACCGATTCGAATCACTCCACGCTACTACAGCGTCAATGTCACTCTGCATGGCATCCGAATCCCCTTTATTACTTATACAACTATATATTTTTAAATCGTCAGCAAATAACAAACATTTTGTGCATGACAATACTTTAGGCAAGTCATTTATCATGATTTGAAAGTTTATTACTTTTATTTATTTTTGTTTCGTTTCCTTTCCTCTCCTCTTCCTTTCGCCTCTCACTATTATTTAACCGTCCTCTCCTCCACCTGTCTTTCCCACCCATTCGACCTCCCTGGCTGCAACTCGACGCGGCCTCAGATTCTGATGGGCCTACTCTACCAACTATCGTATCCTCTACATCACAATATAACATAGCACATCATCAACTTAAAATGTAATAAATAAATCAGTGTTATAAAAAAAACTTGTTATAATCTTAGAAGGACTCGTACGCGCCCATGCTTTAAAACCTCTATAAAAGATTCTGATACAGCTTATTGCCAATATTAAAACAGCCAATATCCTAATTACCATAATAATATCGTTATAAATTTCATAAAAACACTCCTTCGTTTTGTCGATCCCTTCCGCGCAAAGGGTTTACTCATCAGACAGCCACAATTTTTATTTTAGGATTCATGGTATCTGGTATGTGATACATTATTATTATATAAACCCACATTCGTGTTTTAATCCCCCTTATTATAAAACAGTTGCATAAATAACTATTACCTACTCTTGGTTTTCAGACTCGCAATAGTGGTAAAAACATTAAAAACTTATAGAGCTTATTAATTCCAGGTTTCCGTGGAACTGGGGCCGCACCGAATGCATGGGAGCCGACGCGGACCGCAACTGGGATTACCGATGGGGCGAGCAGGACTCATCCCGGGACCCGTGCGCGGACAACTTTGCCGGCCCCCATCCGTTCAGCGAGCCGGAGACAAGAGCTGTATCCGAGTTTTTGGCTGAGCACAGGGACCAAATAAAAGTATGTAACTATAAACTAATTCCCTATTTACGTTTGTGTACTTCTTCCTATCTATTTACAGGCGTTTCAGCGACAACTGTCGTCCATTTGGAGCGAATTTGGCGGTAGAATCTAATACCTATTTGATTAAAATTATAAGTAAGTAAGTATTTAAAACTGAACTCAGTTATAAATAAAACAAAATAAAAACTTCTTCAAAATAGAAGAACAATAATGATACCTTTTCAAACATTTAAAAAAATCCTACTACTCATTCAAGACTTTCTATAAATAGAGAAGAATTTACCAGAGGTAGTTTACTCCTCTCCTTTTCAACTGTGTTTATAGCTGTATAACAGAACATGTTGAATACATTTTCACCACTTATTTAATATTTTTAACAAAAAACGCGTTTAAATTTGATAGCTGTTATATTCGGCTGTGGTTTGGGTCAAGCGTTTGCAGCGCCATCTATGTTGAGCTTTGCGTATACTTCTCCATTACACGCGCACCACCGCGACCGGTGTCGGGGTGACGCGGAGTAGGGGACTTGCACCTGCAAGTCCCCTACTCCGCGGAGCACTGTAAGCTCATCGCCTTTCTCCGCTAATCCAAGATTGGTTTCCACACGTACTCTTTTCCCGAGGAGAGAGAACTACGCTTTGTCATCCGCGGCTTGCCAAAGGAGCTCGATGCAGATTTAATTCTGAAGGACCTTGAGTCCCAAGGCCTTCCCGCGCACTCTGTAAACTGCCTGTTCAATAAGGACAGGCAGCCGTATGACCTCTCTCTTGGTCATTTTTGATCTTTCCCTCACGAGAAAGAAAATATTCTCTATCAGGCCATTTGCCACTTATCAAATATCCGCGTGGAGCCCCCGCGTAAGCGTGGCATTGTCGGACAGTGCCATTACTGCCATTTATATGGCAACAATCGGCCCGATTCTGTTTCGCCCGTGCTTGTCGTAGTCAATCGTAGGTACCTCTGATTCCGTCGGCCTAGGCACTTCCTATAGTACCCCGACGAAGAAATCACCCGCACCAACGCACCTCCGACTCCTCCCACACAGGCTACAAACACCAACACTTCACAGCTAGCATACTTGCACACTAGCTTAGCATTAGGCAGACACCGCACCCGTAGGATAAGAGTGCAAAGACCCGGTCTACACACACGACACGCTAGACCAGGTACGTACCTGGGCGTTTTTCCCCGCCCCCCACGACAACGGCTGTCTAGAGCCAAGGTCCGAGTCTCAGAAACGCCGTCTAGTTTAGACAACCCTCTCAGGTTCGAGTGGTCTAGAGGCTCCGGACGGAGAGGAGACTCCCTCCGTGGGGAGATGCCATCCGCCTGGAATACCTCTAGAGGCACTCACCAATTCTCGGCTTGAGGTCCCCTTAGGATCCTAAGCCGTCCCCAAATCCGGTGACGCTGTAAAGGTCATCTGAGACCAACAGCACAAAAACTCAAAAAAGATATTTTCGGTATCGCAAACGTCTAGAGGCTATGGTGACCGTTGGTCATCAGGTGGGGCTTACGCTTGTTTGCCACTCATTTGTCATATAAAAAATATAAAAGAAAATCGGTGTAAAATAAAATATTACCGATATTTATGCAAAACGCTGTGTAAAATGCATATGATTATATACAACAGAGACGAAGGAACTGCAATATATTGGTACTCAAGAAAAGGTAATAAAGTACTTTCAAGAAAAATGCTGTCATCAAATACATATTAAATGCTATGATTAGAATCTTAAAATTCATAAGCCAAATAAAAGTCGTTGTATCCACAAAATTGCTACAAATTCTAAAATAGTTCTTCCTACGTTTTTCCCACATTTATCTTTCGCAATTAAGGCTGTTACAAACACAGTCGGCGCTCGTGCATAGAGTAAAATATAAATGTCTACTTATTAGACGGCTCAATAACTTTTCTTTTATGTTAAAGGTTGGTTCAAGGGTGGTAAACAAGCGTATGGCCCTCCTGATGCTAAGCGACTACCATAGCCTATAGACGCTTGCAATACAAAAAGTAACGCTGGCACCGTTGCCCACTCTAAGCCAACCCCGTGGAGTCCTGGAACCTTACTCACCAGTAAAAATACAACAGCAGCAATAGGTAGTGTTACTCGTATTTTACATGTAATCTTCTGTAAGATGGAGTTACTTCTTAAAACAGGCAAAATCGAGCGGAAAATCCGCTATGCTCTATCTCTCTTAGACGAAACATTGATTTGGAAACGTATATTCTTAAAATTTTCCTTAATGCTTTAAAGAGAAGTAAAATTATTAAAAGGCAAAATTATTAGAGGAAAACTCGACGGCTAATTTAAAACGACACAGTTTCGTTCCCAAGAAACTGACCTACTTAGTTGCACCTCTAGTGCGATTATATAGGTACCAGTTTTCTAATCCGGAAATAGTTTCTATGAGATTCTCAATTTTCTAATAATAATCTTTTTGAAGGACTGCTTTAATCAATCACAAATGTCGCGAAGAAACACAGATTTCGATCTAATCTGATAGTTAAACAAAACGGGGAGTTGAATTTAGGCACTTGTCCCATCGCCGACGATGAACGAGATTCGAGTAGAGCTAGAAATTAGAAACGAGTTGGCGAGCAGCGGGAAATAAGTGTGTAATGCCGATAGTTTTATCGCTGGACTAAAAGCGAGTGTGCAAGTACGATGGGCAATTACTACAATATATACACATATACTATTAAAGCGCCTATTTAGTATCTCCTTATTTACGTAGATAATCCTGAGCAAAATGCACACGCACCCATTTTAAGACAAGCATTTAACGCTGATCTAGTATAGCTGAGCGAGTATTATCTTTGATAGCTCTGTTCGCTCAGCGACAACCTAGTGGAGTTCTCAGCGGCGCAGTGTGAAAACAGTTAGCTATAAACTATTAATGAATGCATCACTATTGTTAACACGGAATGTTGGAATATCTAATGTACGTTGCTGGAGCGAGAAAATAGCCGATAATTAGTTGCCTACGGTCACATCTTATATACCACATTTTGCATTAAGTCTCAAGGTTTTATTTGGATGTAGCCTAATTCCCGCAACAATTTCTGAAGTTGGCCCTTGTACTTTAAGCGTTTTACTGTGAAGAGAATAACAAGCTGGTGCGAACTATGTTTTCTTTCACTACCAGACCAGCGTGTTAATACTTAGTAGCTATAGTTAGTGATATTCGAGTTGCTATTCCGAAGCAAGCTTCAACTGCAGATATTAAATGCAGCGGCTGCGTCCAGGGTTAGACCTATAATTAATAGGGGAAAAAACAGGTCAGGATGAAACCCATTTCAAGCAGATTATATAGAGAAAAGGAGGGAAAATAATTTCTAATTTCCATTCAAAATATAAATTTTTCCCTTTTACTTACCTCTAACTTAGAATTTTTCGCATTTATTACATTAGTTAAAAAAAAATTTGGTGTGTTGACGAGCGAGCCTTACAGTAGTCGCGTATGATGTGTAATAAAACCTCACCTTATATTAGTAAGAAAAGAAATAAAACCTACTACAAAAGGAATAAGCCATTTGAACATTATGTTCTAAAATCAAATCAAATAGCGCTTGCTTTCGGGACTACCTGTTACACACTTCCGTCCCATACGAAATCACTCCCACAAATTGCATGAAAGCGAGAGGAAAGATGCTACACATCAAAAAAAATTGCCGATAAACTTTTTAATGTTGCAGTGTTGCTGAATACATATGTCTCTATATAGTATAGTATATTAGTATTTATGATCTCTTTTAAACATAATAAATATAGTCAGCAAAGGCGGGCACCTTTGCTGACTATATGTATTGTGTATTTGACTTTGTTTTGAACCATATAATGCAATAAACAGTATAATAATATGTAATGGTGGTTACAATTATGTAGGTAGATTTTTTTATCAGCTCTAGTTTATGAGTTTCAGATACTTGCGGTCAAAACTTAAAATGCATGGTTTAATACCCTAGAATTGACAAATCCAAAAAAAAGCAAAAAAGCTTCTCTTTAAAGCTCTTCTCTTTTATATGGACTAAGAGAAGTGAAGTATTAGGCACCGGCAATAGTCAAATATCTTTTTCCTAACCCAGAAACCCTGATAACGCTCCTCTATGACGTAAAATTGATGCATACGCTCTTCATACTGTTTGCTCATATCTCATATATTCTGGAAAGCTGTCTAGGTAGTAAAATCTATGTAGGAAGTGGAGTTTTATGCTTATATTACATCCCAATAATAATAATTTTCAATTATAAAAGGAAGTCTTTTACAAGTTGAGTATAGTTTTGATTCCGAGAAATTTTTGCATCATCGATACGAAAGCTGTTCATGTCCTAACTTGCATTCATGGCATTTCTTAATTCAGTATCTTTTGAGAGTGTCTCAATTGGGAAAATTCTGGAGAAAACTGTCCAAATTTTTGGAAAATTTAAGAAAAGCAAGTCTCGTTTTTTGAATGCGTTAACAAGCTGTGTCTTTATTTCTAGTTTTATAATTTATCCACTATATGACTTTGAAAAGTCATGTCTGTTGCCCTGAATGCTGAACACAAAAAGCAGTTGGATACTGCCATTTAGCTTGATGTTTAGAGTTAATGACTTAAATTTTGAAACTACAAAGATGATTTTGCGGTTCTCGTCAAATAGTTGGCGTTTCAAATTTAAAACTCATTGTTCTGCCAAGTTTTCTTAATCTTAAATATTCAACACACGATTTACAAACAGAATTGGGAGCCCAATAGGCAAGTTTATTTAGGTTTTAAGAACTACTTATATCACCAAATTTCGAGAAAATAAAATATAAATCTGAGAGATAAAATAGCAGGATTTGTGATTTTGTGAGTACATTTAACAGACTTGTAAAACTTTTCATTTTTTTACAATTTTTCGATTTGTTTTATCTTTCCCTGAAATCGCGGTAAACCTTTTTTCATCATTTAAAGTTCATCCCCGCACCTTACCTAACCTTAAACCACCCGTAAATTTTATATAAACTTTTTTCTTATACATTTTCAAATAGTTTTCATTATGTAGGTAATGTTTTTTTCTATGGCTAAACTCACTCTTCCTCGCCCAACCATGGCGTGAGAGAAAAGCTTTGTAGATAGTAAAAGACAGTTTTGAATGCCACCCGCAACTTCATTCGTACATTTTTATTAAACAACTAAAGTACCAATTTGGCACCGGGGTAAAAATAACTAAAAGCTTTCAATAACGATAACTTAACTAAGAACTTTGTAGCTACTAAGATAATACTTTTTTTATGTCGAGCCCTATTGATAGAAATCACAAGGTGTCGAAGTTTCTAGTCTGTCACACAATCGCAAGTATTGCAATTTATCATTCTTACTGTAGAGGTAGACCGCACATCATCGTATAAACCTATACGTTGTTGTGTAGCTTGTGAAATTGTAACGGCATAAAATTTTGCTATGTTAACTTTCAAACCATTCTTCAGTGAAATAGTAGCATTCGTACGTAACTTTCGAGAAGACAATCGATTCATTATAATATAGAATCTTGTATTTATATATGAGTATGTGAGGTGTTTGATGGCGCACGTAGTTCGAGCGTTCGGACTGCGATCGTGGAAGTTAAGCAACTTTCGCAATGGCCGGTCATTAGATGGGAGACCATAAACTGTTAAGCTACTTTCGAAATGGTAAGTCATTAGATGGGTGACCAAAAACTTATTATCTCGAGCTCCTCCATGCTTCAAAAGGCACATTGAGCCGTTGGTTCTGGATGAATCTACAGTCATTATCATCTAGTAATCCGCACTGGGTCCGCGTGATGGGTTTTTCACGGCTCATTCTCCCTATTTCTTCCATAGGGACACACCTGCCTGGTGTGCCACAGTAATAAGGACATTAATAAACTGATGCTAATGATGTATAAATAAATAGGTCCATCACTCAAATAGCCTAGCCCCAAAGAAACACTGTAGGTTATGGGTTATTGGATATTATGGTGTTATGGGATACTAGGGTAACGGATAGAATACATATGCTGATACATATATTTATATAGAAATACATATTAAACATTCATGACTGGAGTACAAATGCTCGTATTCACACAAACATCTGCCCCCACCGGAATTCGAACCCAGGACCTCTCAAGTAGGCGTCACCATGAAAACCGGCGTACAACCAAAGTCATTTAACTTCCTGTCTGGCCAAATATTTGAGCTTCCTGCAAATTCGAATAAATTCACTAGCTGTTCAATTTCAGCTGAGTAAAGATCACAAGTGTGAAGCTGCATTAAGTATTTTAGTAAGAGAAGTATATTTGATTACAGGTATACATATCCCTGCATGCGTACTCTCAAGCATGGTTGGTGCCCAGCTCGCAAACTCGCGCGCCGTTCGCTGACGACGGCCTCACGGTCGAGATGGGCAAACTAGCGACGTCAGCCCTAGCAGACCTATACGGAACCAAGTACCAAGTGAGTTGCATACGTACTGATTTGTGAAGTACCTATATTTAATGTCCAGCAACTGTCCCCGCAGAGTCCAGTTGCAAAGATACCAGATACGGCCGATATGTGTCTAAGTCACCTTTTTCTTCGATGCCATTAATGTTGGCACGAATTCGTGCTATACTATGCATACTTGGTGGTATAGTTTAAATCTTTGAATTTAAGTACCTACACGATGTTATAAATCATCTCAATTTTTTTAAATAAAAGTCTTCATAAACTTCAGTTTGAACTTCAGTTTGACCTGTATGTATGTTTTTCATTTTTAGTTTTTTTTATAGTCGTTATTGTATATCGTTCTTTTTTTTATTCCAAACAGTGAATTCAGGCATGGTCATAACTTATTATCATAATAAAATATGCTTTATATCACTATGATTTTTTATATTAGAATGGTATTTTCTTGTAGGTTGGCACCGCAGCTGAGATAAGACAGCCAGCTTCCGGAATGTCACACGACTGGGCGAACGCACGCGCCGGAATCAAGTTTTCTTATCACGTGGATCTTAGAGATTCATACGGACCTTATGGATTTTTACTACCGGGAGCTCAAATTGTTTCAACGGCGCGAGAAACATGGCAGGCCATCAGGGCCATCGTAGATAATATCGCTCCGACTTCTTAACATTTTGTGTAATGAAACCATATTGCCAAAAATCTAGTAAACCGCGTTTGTGAATGAAATCCAAAGTTTGAAAGGACATATAAAAAATACAGGTAAAAGTAAATACTTATGTAATTAACCAAAAATACATTGAACAGTATTTGTTCTTTTGTCCATCATCAAAAAATGTAATGATAAAGCACTTCTAAGTAAAAAATGTACCAAGACGTGACTTCATGCGACATTTCAAATTAAATCAAAATATCTCTGTTATGTTTAGAGTCACTAGAGTATGTGATTTAATAATAAATGCGTATCTAATACTTCGTAATAGACAACACGATAAAAGAAGAAACAAAAGGTAGTCATCATGAAGATAATAGAAATAGAGGGTAGCTATTTAAGTTTGCTTGATTGGACCTGGAGTCTGTCGTAACTTGACTAAGAAAGAAAGTCTGAAAGAAAGAAAAAAGTAAAAATAAATTCAAAGTAAAAAGCTTTTTAAAAACAAGCTTTTATTTAAATGCGCTAAAAAGAATAAAATAAAAATTTCCTTTAAAACTTTTATTATGAACTTAAACGCCATTACACAATTGATATAACATATAACCTTGTCGCCAGATTTAAGTAGGTTCTGGTAGTAACAATATCAAAATTTAAAAAAATAAAATTAATCCGATCAAATTTTGTTTATATACTTACACAGGTACATCTCGCGACAAGCTTTTATCTATACTAATATTATAAAGAGGAAAGATTTGTATCTATGTTTGTAACGAATTGGCTCAAAAAGTACTGGACTGTTTAACTTTTTTTAAAGCTTATATTTAACTTGCAATGTATGTATGTATGTTTGTTCGGGTGGAATCTTGCAACTCGATTTTGAAGCAGATGTCTTCATTCGATTGAGCTGAAATTTTGTACATACGTTTAGTTTTGATGACAATGCATGGTGAACTGTATCATCATTCTTAATCCAATATGGCGGAACATTAAGTTGGCGGACTAGTTACCTATTTTTGATGCACTCCTACAAAATGGGTATAAAATGAAAGGGCTTGCTAAGAATAACTCGAAAAATAAAGTGGCGTCACCTAAAATCCAATATGGTGGAAATGAAAACACGGCAGAATCAGTTTTTTTGTTCTTTCCTACAATATGGGTATCTATCAAATGAAAAGACTAGCTGAGAATATGGTGGTTTTAAAGTTCTCGATTATGTTCATCGATAACTAAAAATAAAAATATATTAAAAGTAAAAAACCTTTTAAAAACAAGATTTTACTGAAATGCGCTAAAAATAATAAAATACTTCCTTTAAAACTTTTACTATGAACTTAAACCCCATAACACAATTTATATAATATTAAAGCTTGTTGCCAGATTTAAGTAGGTTCTGGCAGTTACAATATCAAAATTAAAAAAAAAAAAATCCGGTCAAAGTTTGTTTATCTACTTACACAGGTAAATCTCGCGAAAAGCTTTACTTATATAAATTGTGTGATGACGTATTCAGTTCATAGTAAGTTTTAAGGCTTAATTTTATACTCTTTAGCTCATTTAAATAAAAACTTGTTTATAAAACGGTTTCTTACTTTTAATTTTATTTAGGAAATGGAAGGTTTCACGGTTACTGATAATACTTAGTTCACTGAATTTTCTTTTAGACAACCTTGTTATAACAAAATCTCTTAATCATCGTCTTACAGAATTCTGTGTTTTGTGGTATGTTTCCTAAGTGAATTTTCTTTAATTTATAAATGAATGAGAGAATTTAATTTTATTAATAAATCGAAAAATTGTACAAGATCCCCAAAAAAATACAATTGGTAACCTAACCTAACGCTTAGGTTAAGTTACCAATTGTATTTTTGTATAAGTACCTACCTACTTATTACCAATAGCATTTTTAGGTGATCATTTATTATATTTTAAGGATCATTTAAATTTGTAATGACCTTTTAAAAATTCATATTTAAAACATAATTTAACCTGATATCTAAGCTGGTTGTTTTTAATCTCTTGTACTTACTGCCTATCTGCCAATAAATAAGTAGAAACAAAATGTCCAACATACGAAACGGATGGTTGATGAAGGTTTTGTAAATAACCGATACACGATTTATGGTAATTAATATTCTAATTTATTACCTTAAAATAAATAGCCACCTACATACTGTGCTATTATCACAATATGAATGACTTGCAAAGCGCAAAAAGCGTCTGATATATTATTCTATACCTATCAGACGCCTTTTGCAAAGTTCTCAAGGATATTATAAACCAGTATCATAAAAAGAGCGCAAGTTAGTAAGTAGGTGTTTACTATTATTGCTAAATAAATGAAAATAGGTACTCTTAACTATTACACAAAATTAAGTACCTACCTATTTGAATTTCGTCACTCTACAGCATCACCGAAGCTAATCAATTCTTGGTATGTGTTTAAGATCAGTGTCTAATTTATTGTAGAATAAATGATTAATTTGACTGTGACGCATTTTTATTGAACTCAAAACAAGGTCTAGAGAAATTGACTAGAAAATATTCTACGTTGACCTGGCAGCAGACGGGACTCGAACCCGCACCGCCCGGAAAGCGAAGGGTGGAACGATGGAACATTTTCTAGTAATTTTTCTTTTAGATTTAAACATCGTCTATCAGTTATTACCTATATGATCATCAGTCGGCTCAAGTAGAATTGGCACGTTGACGGTGGCAAGGGACCGGCGCGTATGATATCGATAAGTGCGGCATGTCTCGAGAAGCGGCCTGCACTTTTTTGGCATTACAGTCCGTGATGTCCTAGCTTGTCGACATCACTGCATTCTAATGATTCTATTTTTATTTGAATCAGTGATTTGGCCAGATGGTCCTCGATGGTAGATACTCAATTCGTGTTTGGTTAAATAAAGATAAATATTATTTATTTGTAATTTAAATATATGAAAGAGATAATTTAGGCCAGACTGCAATAGTTATATGTTGGTGACGTTTATCATTTAGTATGAATTAAGTTTGAATGCTGTCAATTTATTATACAAACGACTTAAGTGGTGATGATATGAATACTATCTTCCGCCACCTTGAAGATTACTTAAAAGATCTCATGTACTTTACCGCACTACTTGAAAACGTGGCTCAAAGGACTTGTATCCAAGCCATAAATAAAAAAAATCATTTGACAGTGGCAGGACAGACAGACCACTGACAGTTACAATTAGTGATGTGCTGAGTCAGTTATTTTTGGTATTCGGGTATTTTAGTACTTGTTAAAAAAAGATTCGAATTAGGACTCGAGTCAGAAGACTCGGGCAGGTATTCGAGTACTAGCACGAGTATTCGAATACTTTACTGGTCTCGGTCTCGACTATTTTTTGAATCGGACATTGAAATTTGCTTCATCATCATCATTAAAAATCATATTATATCAATGATAGGAAAATATGTTAATAATAATAGATTAAATGTATAATCAGTCATTTATTAATATTATAATCATCATATTAATAAGCTCCATGACGATGCTATTGAGTCTAATGACTCCAAGTCCAAATCAGAACTCTCATCCATGCTTTCGTTTTCATATTGCTTACTTTTTGATGTGTGACATCTTTCCTCTCGCTTTCCTGCAATTTGTGGGAGTGATTTCGTGTAATGGAACGGAAGTGTGTAACAGGAAGTCGCAAAAGCGCGCGCTATTTGATTTGATTTTAGAACATAATGTTCAATGGCTTATTCTTTTTGTAATAGGTTTTATTTCTTTTTTACTAATAGAAGGTGAGATTTCAAATGTTACACATCATACACGACTACTGTACAGTTTGTCTATAAGGTCGTGACATTAAATGATGGCGCCACTAGTATGCATGTAGCAACCCTATACAGTCGGACCAAAATGATTTTGATACTAGCACTTCATGCAAGTAAAATAGGTAATTAATAAGACACTATACAGTCGTATTTTGTTTCTGTTTTATATATAATAGGTACCTATGCTTATAAAAAGTTTAGCCAAGCATATTTAATTGAATCAGAATAAAATTATTATAGATAAAATAGTACTTTATAGTGTAAAAGTGTGTAATGTTGGTGATTACCGCTGAGGTGCCATTGAGACCAGAGTCATTAGGTAATCATCAATACACACAAGTATCATCATACGACGTTTTTTAACACACTTGTTAAGAAAATAATACTAAAAATCATTTTATAGTATATAAAAAGTTTATTTAAAGAAACAATTTGTAACTGTGCAGTTAGCAAAATTAGTGAGAGGTATCTTCACTAAAAGCATCTGGCCATGGTTCTTTATGTGACCATTTCTTTCTTTGGTCGGCCTTGCCTGTTTTCCCAGGAGTTTCAAACTTTCCATCATTCTTAAAACCTTCGTTGACTATCCGACTCTCTGATTTTCCTGAAAAAAAGTAAAAAAATATGTAACGGAATAGAAACAATAAGTTATTGACATGAAGCAATTAATTCAAAATTGGTAGAAAACCTGACCGAGTTGAAACATAATAACGTATCAAAAGAAATGGTCGTACTACAATATTACCTATTTACAATGTCAATCTAACCTAAAAATTTGCAATGTAAACACAATGTAAACTTTTTTGGTCTTAAAATCGTAAATTGAGTAAATTTGTAACTTCATGCAGATTACAAACAAATACTTACACGATTACATACCTAACCATCATAGATGCTGTCCACCCATAAACATCATCCAAATTCCACAAAATTCATCCAGCTTGGTAGTCTTCGAAACATCGCTGGAAAACTTTAAAAATCACTTCCCGCGTGCCACTCCGATTTACTTTACTCATTTTTATACCTTTCTGTGTAGTTTCGTCTTTATTTATTACAGTTTAATCCAAACAATAAAAAAAAAGGTAAATTTAAAAAATCAAAAAACCCGACTGCTTAATTATTCTTCAAATAAAAACTGAAAAGAAAAAAACAAGTCCAGTAGTCTATAATTCTGTTAATAAGGAACAAAGCTACTTTAGCAGTCGGGACCCATTAGATATTCAAGAATACATAATATTTTTCAACGGTGGGTCCCGACTGTTAAAGTAGCTTTGTTCCTTATTAACAGAATTATAGACTACTGGACTTGTTTTTTTCTTTTCAGTTTTTATTTGAAGAATAATTAAGCAGTCGGGTTTTTTGTATTTTTAAATTTACCTTTTTTATTTCACACTTTTTAGTTAGTATTTTAAGACGGTATATACCGTAGTCTTGTTACTTCAGTAGGGGAATTAATATCGCGGGAATTATTAAGTACCTTGCGTCGGTCTAAAAGATTGATTTATTAAGACATATATAACGACTTTACCCTCGGGGTCAAGGCTAGAGATCACCTATAAAAATCTACATTATTTACTTTGAATTTTGCAGAATTATTACAAAACCAATATTATCGCGAGCTGATTAATAAATACAGGGATTCCAATAAGTATGTACTTACTAGCGAAAAATGGGTTATTTGTCATTATATTAAGTTAACCTTTTTTGTAACCTTAAGTAATATCGTTAAAAAAAATGAAAAACAGTAAAATTCTGAGTTTTTCATTAAAATTCAATAATCATAAATACCTATTATGATAATATATTTTTCATCATTTAATAAGAAGGAACTGTATCACAGTTTTAATGTTAGTGTTTTATGTTTTTTTCTTTTACATAGTACACCGCGCTATCACTTTGTCATCGTTGTAACTTTTTAAATATTTGTCGAAATGACATAGTGTAAAAAGCAAAGTGTATTGTCTTTAAATATCAAAAGCGATTAAAGTATTTGTTTTGATAAAAAATGATTTGTTAATACAAAATGTGCATTTTGGAAATAGATATCAAATAATATTTTAGTTTTGATTCACTATTTTAAGGGTAATGACTTACATATTAAAAATAGATATATGGTGTCACGGACTTTTTTTTAGAACTATTTAAGAGATACATTTTCACTCTACATTACATTCATGGAACTTTTATTGTTTTTGCAGTGCAGGCCAAAATGGCTCGCAGATGGGACATTTTTTTCCGTCTTATGTGACACTTATTGCTATATATTGGCCAATTCACTCAATAACTACATAAATTAATATATATATATATATATAATTATCATATATGAGCTATATTACTGTTAAGTTTCATTAAAATCCATTCAGTATTTTTTAGGCGAAAAAGTAACAAAGATCCATACAAACGTAAGTGTAAGTGAAATTAAAAGCGTAAGTGGTTAATATACAACTTTAAAGCGTTGTAGATCCTAAACAATCATATAAAATGAAAAATGATGTTAGGAACCTAAATATGATTTTTGATTATCTAGACAGTGATACCCCACTCGACATATTTTGTCAACTTTCTTTTTTTACTTCGTCACAATATGGCGCCTAATTTTGCCCATATTGAATTTTGATTACTATCATATCTTTAATAGCATGATTGAGACGAATCGATTGATGTATGAATCATCAAAATCGGTCCAGGCGTTTGGTCTCTAGTGTGCCACAAAGGAACAAACATACATATATAGACTGTTAAACACATAACCCTGTCTGCGCGTAGCGCTTCGCGCTCTTGCATTGCGCAGCCGGGTAAAAATACCAAAGAAAACTGTTCCACAACTGAAACTCGATGACAGCTGATGTACATAAGTTTGGTGTTGCCAGACACATGAATAATGTTAGTTCCACAAATATTCATGTCACGACTTTATAGACAAACTGTAAGGCTCGCTTGTTTTTTTCTATTATCACTGTATAAATCAAGGGATGTATTTTTTTCAAAAGATTTGAAAAAAAAATGTGGTGTTTCCAAAATTAACAAATGTTTTTTACTCTCTGTATTCCACTTTTTTATTTGGTAAAATATTATAAAAAAGTCACTAGTTTAAAAACAGTAAAACTTTACACAAATTCTACAGTGCAAGATGTAATCGCCATTAATATTGATACCACGTCTTTTCCAGTTGAGCGTTCCGAACATGTCCTGCAGCGCAGCGGAGAAGAGTTTCGGGGATATTACATCCCCTTGTTTCACAGTAACTGGCAACAGAGAGTTCGACTAATTAAAGTAGATAATTACTTATAAGAAACAAGTATGTATTTAAACTATTGTTAACATCTCATTTAACTGGTCGACCGAGTAGGAAACATAAACACGTTCAAATCACGTTACTAACTTCACTGTACTAGTACAACGACTGAGTATTCAAATACCATATTTCGAGTACTCGAGTACGTGAGTACCAGCTTGGTATTCGAGTCAGCCCGACTCGGCACATCTCTAGTTACAATTTTGTTTACTTTGCTTGTCGTGTTTGTTTTTGTTACAAAATTTTATGAAATTCCTTTATTTTACTGTATTACTATAATGGCAGATGAAAATAGTATAGAAAAATTGGCATCCTTCAATAAAATAAATCCTACTGGGTTTGATGTGACAGTAAGTGCATTACTGTTAGGTGTAGGTGGTGAAAAATATGTAGATATTTTCAAGTAAGTAGGTACCTAAGTTAGTAACTATATTCTTTAAAAGCAACCGGTTAATCGGTAGGGTAATTAATAATATTACAGTAAGGTAATTTATTTTCTATATTTAAAATCTAAACAAAACTACTTAGGTATGTTAAATGCAGTATATGAAATTACCTATCGGTTTCATTAGCAAAATGCCAACTGATTGTACTTAGTTATTCATTTTACAGTCAATGTTATATTTTCACTGTGAACATACACACATCAACTAACAACTCCAGTGTTATTTATTATTTCTCTATTTTGTTCATCATCAGTCTTTATTTGATTTGACTGCTGAATAATAGGCCTTCCATGTGTTCAGAATAAATAAATAATAAATAAATAAATATTTCCAACACTCACACCAATTAGCCTAGCCCCAAAGTAAGCACTATAAGGCTTGTGTTATGGGATACTAGGGTAACGGATAGAATACACATACTTTACATATGTAAGTATATTTATATAGAAATACATATTTAAACATCCATGACTGGAGTACAAATGCTCGTGTTCATCACACAAATATCTGCCCCCACCGGGATTTGAACCTCTCAAGTCGGCGACGCCATGAAACAGTAAAAAATGAGGTCATCGAATCACTAAAGTACCACAAAAGCATAGTGTAGTTTGGTCAACTAAGCTCTAATGGTTCCGTTTTATTAGACAAATCATGTGCTTATGTCACAAGATTAATAAAGTACTTCACAGTTATATATTTTTTATAATGAATAAAATATTGTTTGTTGTCTCCAGAAAAAAAAATATAAGTCAATGTACATTAACGGAATTGACAAATGAAGATTTAATTAAGTTAGGAATTGATGATGCTAATATTAGAAAACAACTTCTTGAAGAAGTGAAAAACTTACCCTTATATGCAGATACATCAGCTGCAGTGTAAGTATATATTATAAGTATCTCTATTAAACAAGAAAATGGTTATAAATTTAAAAAAAGGAAATGTAGAAGTTATTTTTTAAATTAAATAAACTTGTTATTTTCAGATCTATACTAAATAACAATCTGAACCCAATAGAAATATTAGAAACTCTCGAAGAAAGCTCTCAACATCTCTACAGAATATACTTGAGTGTTCTGGCCAACACATTAGCAGTAAAAAAGACTAAACACATAACTGATTGTTTGATTTACAAAGACAAATATGCATCAGACATAGCTATAGCAACACTGAGTGAAATCACAAACATTTTAAACTCTATGGACATAGCTTTACATACTCAATTAAAGGTATGTTAATGAAAAAAGTAATTCTTAGCAAAGCACTAAAGATTATAAATGGAGCAAAACTTGTCTTCCAATCACAATTATGATTTATTAGAATCTCATTATGTTTGCCAAAAAGATTTGGTAAGCTCATTGCTAAGGAGGGGTGGGGGTAGGTCATGAAAACTTGATTTAACCATGATTTTCATCAAACATTTAAAAAACAAAACATATTTAGGCAATCCAAAATGAATAAATAAAATAATAAAAATATTTTTACTTACTTGATTACATACCTTATAAAAATATTGATTTGATATTAATAAAATTTATATTTTCAGACATTTACAAAGGAAAACAGTAGCAACAGAAGTAAGAAGATAATAGTTGGTACTCTTGGCAGTGCTGTGATAGGTGTTTTGACAGTGTTTTTTGTGCGCTCATTAAAAGACTTAAAGTAAGAAGCATGTTGTTAATATTTTTTGTTTTAAATACACGTTGAAACTTTCGCATTGCATTATTAATACAACATTTAATGGGTTAATACATGCACTATATTAAAGGTTTTATTTATGTGTAGGTACCTTCTTTACCCTGATATTTCAACCAGAAACAGTAACGTGTGCATTTTAACCCATTAAATGTCATATTTATATTTTTATCTAAATGGCTTCCAAATCAACACTGTACATAGTCTTATACCAACTAATTTGACAGCTCGGTAAAAAGTTGTGTAGACATAATAACTCAGCTTTCCTTTTCCTTGTGCAGACTTTTTGGTTTATAATATTGTTGAGGGCAGTACATAATTACACTCTGTCAGGTCATTGCGCTAACTCAAAATTTGCGCCATGACGAAGCAAAATTTCAACACATTCCAAGTAAACTGCACAGGAGAGCGTTCTCCATCCTAGTTTTACATAAAAATGAGTCCTAAATTAAAGTAGCGATGTGACTGTATTCATCCATAATATTTGTGACTTTTAAGATATTTAATTTTACAGCTAACAAAAAGAGCTTAATATTACATTAATATCATAAGACGTTTTTTCTTGTGTTAAATAACATATCAATAGGTACCTAATAAATATCAGATTTGTTATGTATAATAAGGAAATGGCAGAAATAAAATATTTCATGGTTTTCTATCAAGCGCTCATACGCACTGGCGGTAGCTGCATAGTGCATAGGCGGTTAACCACATGGCCAGTGGCGGACTAACAGGGGGGCGGAAGGGGCGGCCCGCCCCGGGCCTCCGATCTTGGGGGGCCCCCAAATGTCTCCGAATTCCCCTGATCGGAACCTAAACATAACTTTAAAAATGTTAAGAAAATATAACTTGAAAAAATTCCATGCGGACCAGGCAGCAGACGGGACTCGAACCCGCACCCTCCGCAATCCGGACGAAAGCACTGATCAATTATGCTACCGCGGCCAGAGTTCAGTAAATTGAAATCACGAAAACACATATAAACGCTACCAAAAATAAAAAAAAACTATCTTTGATTTATTTTAGTATTTTTTTTTTGTCGATGATTCGTATTTGATTTTCCTACCAATATCCATTCCATATTGTAGGTATGTATGTTTATTTTGCCGAAATAATTTAATTCTAATTTAAATTTCACTTGCCAGATTTAACAAAATAAACATAGGAAACTATTTTTTTTTAAAGCTGGGGACCTCATTCTGCTTTGCCGCCCCGGGCCTCTGATTGGCTTAGTCCGCCACTGCACATGGCTAGTCGCTTTTTCATCTTAGTAATATTCTGTGGCGGTTAAATGCGTATGATCACACGCGGTTGTAAAAAAGTGCGTATGTGCGCTAAACGTTTAATATGACTGAAAAAGTACCTCTGTACATTCGTTATTGAACGCACACTAAAATTTAATTCAAGTAAATGGTTATTTAGTATTCAATGTTTTTTTTCTTTCATAATAATACCCTACGTTTCTTTTGTTAATAAGTATACCTAATTGCTATCAACTTCACAAACATCGTGTTTACGTTTTCGAATTCATGATAAAACGCGAACTTGAAGCGACTCATAATCTTTAACTGTATATGAGAGGTTAATTTTTGATAAGATTAAATTTACTTTTGCCTTATTGTTATTAACTTATAACCTAATTGTAAATACAGTCTGGGTACGCAATAGCTGCATATTTACTTATTTGACAAAACTCCTTTGATGCGTGCCGAAAAGCAGACAGCGAGTGATGCGGTTATGCGTTTTGCCTTGGTCCTGTGAGTCTATTTTATAAATAGATTTACTAACCACACATTAAAATAATTTGTCAAATGGTATGGTACGATACCATATCAAATGGGCAATTATGCCAAATAGTCCAGTCCAGTTGAAGTGCCACCATAAAATGGGTAATGTATCGACTTCGTTTGTGGTACTATTTTCGAAAATTCCCCACGATCACTTACAAAAAACTATATCTTTAAATGTGTACTATCGCTACATTAACATCACGATGCATCAATTGAAAACCCCGAGCTAAATGCGAAATATAAATACACCGGAAGTTAAATTGACCCCAAAAATAACAGTTCCGTTTCCCAGTTTACACAGTAAGTAAATCCAGCTGACCCAATTGTATCGACATCATCAATTAAAAAGTGTAGCTACCTAAGTTAAATGATGAGGTTGCAGGGCGCGCGCTATCGGAATTAAAGTTCACTTCCACAGAATACATCTAAATGGAACTCTGTGATTTTATATTCAACATCAGCCTACTTCCGTTACATTAAAATAATAATAAATCATTTATTTGCTCGGACCTGGTAAATTATACAGATCTTAAAAACAAATAAAATTCCACCATGATATCTCGCTTTTAACGACGTGCAAATATTTATATAAGTAATGTGATTCAACTAAGAATAGGACCGACTGGGCGCCATATTGTGATGTCATAGCTGTCAATTCAAACCAAATGTGTAGAGTGAGCAAAAAAAAAATTTTATTCAATAAAACTTATTTACTAAAACTTATTTAATAAGTGAGAAAAATCATCAGATTTTTTTTTAACATTTAATTACTAAGATTGAGAAAAATACACCGATTTTTAATAATATTTATTTATTAAGACTGTGTGAAAAAACATGAATCAAAATGTAGCTCATCTATGCATTACCACCGGAGTAGTTATGAATAATCATGCACTATTACTAGGTCACATACGAACATGCGTCCTTTATGTAAACGAAAGTTTGAAATCGAGTTTCTAAACGCAACTTAAAGTGACATTTGGTTGACGATTTAGGTTATCAATCATACATGGCCAAAGCTCAATAAGTGAAAAAAAATATCAACCGATATTAATTATCAATATTTGTTATTGTTTGTTTACAAATGTTTGGTTTTTATTCTTGAATTAGCAGAGTGCTAAAAAAGGGTTCCATATTTTTTTTTGCAAACCGTACTTTCCAAGCGACATTTGACAGATAGAGGTCATTGGCTTTCCTATTCCTATTTGAAGCATTAACAGTAACTCAAACTATTAATACCATAATCATGTTTGAGTTAGTAGGCACGTATTATAATCAATTTTATATAATAATAATAATTAGTTTGACCAGACTCTTATGACCCGGTAGCTAAAGTGATAAGGTGTTGGGTTCAACCTGCCACCTGACATAGGCAATTTACTTATTTATTAACAATATTATTAGTGCCAAAATTTTTATTTACTGATTATGCGCTTGCTTAAAAATAAAATCCCAATTATTGTAATCGACGATGATGATATTAAATTAAATATAATATGGCTAGAAATCGATTTTACAAAGGCAAACTAAGTAGGTACCTACCTACCTAGTGCTTAAAATCGTAACTGTCTTATTTAAAAAAACGGTGCTCAACCGCAAAATCATTGTCAGGTATTTTGCTTGTAAGTAGCTGTTTATTCGTAATCTTTGTACTTATTTATTTATTTTGTTTAGTAAATTGACGGTTTTACAAACAAATTAAAGCAAAAACGTTATTAATAACAGGTAACCCATTATAGATTCACACTAATAGAAAATAGGATTGTAAGTGTATCGTCCACGTATCATCATTCACTCATATTGTTTTGATTAGCAATCTTCTCGATGAGAATGGTAGTCGGGAACATACCATGGGAGGCGTGACGTCTCGCGGACCGACCACGGTCGCTCGGTTCCTCCGCGGCCCGCGGCGGAAACCCGAGCCACAGCCGGAGTCCCGCTGGACCGACGACGTTTATTGCTGTCGACCGCGTCAATTGAACCGCGTGTCCGCTCGCAGCCAACACTGCCATGCACATCGCACTTGGCACCGCGATTTTTGGCACATTAGTTTCAAATTAATAAAAAAATGGTATGTTACAAGACTCTGTTCGGAATCTTAGTGATGCTCAGGATTATAAGTGCTCAAAGCGATCTGGAAACCGGTAAGTGAAATGAAACACTCATTTTAAGTGGAAATGTTAAACGTTAAACTTTTGGTAATAATCTGCGATTTGAGCTGAAATTAATTATGACGTACCTAGTTAGTATAAATCGTTCTTACTTGAGTATTAGTTAGGTGTACCATACAGCCAAAGGTATATTTTCTGAGACTAATAAAAATCCTCGGGTTTTATATTACTACAAAGAGCGAGCTGGTACAAAAACTCCTACTTAAAATGCAGTAGCCCTTGATCAGAGTAGATCGAGATAGTCTTTCAGTTTCTGTGGTCGAAGCTTTGATTTCACGTAAATTTCTCTCTCGCTGGAAAGTTTCTAGTATTTGGATTTTAGCGCCCCTTGTTATTTGGCGCTGAGCGCTCCACCACAGCCCCACAGGCTGAAGATACAAACAAACGATCAGAAATGGTTTTGTTTCAATAATAAATGTTTTATCTTAAGTAAAGATTGAGAGCGGCCGTTTCTTATTTTCAAACGAGTGACAGTTTCAAGCAAGTTCCGTATCCAGGTTTAAGAGTTACAAGGGGCTAGAGTAGGTGGGGCTTAATTTATTTTTTGGTTCTTTTCTACCCAAAAATAACTCATCATCAGTGTCAGTGGACAAGGAATGGGGTCAATAGCAGCAATAAATTATATCTTAGATGGTTAATGTCAAGGTAATATTATAAATGCAAAAGTGAGTCTGTCGGTTAGGCTTAAACCGCTAAACCAATAAAGATGAAATTTGGTACAGATATAGGTTAAACCCGGGGGAAGGACATAAGACAGTTTTTATCCTAGAAAACACCCTTTAAGGTTGGCAGTTTGTATGGGAAAGCAATTTTTCCATGCAGACGAAGGGCAAGCACTGGTATTACATATCATATATCATACTTTTGAAACAGGCAAAATAATAAAATTTTCGCATGTTTTGCTGATTTATTGATAACACATTGTTGATAGAAGAAGACTCAGATAAAAGTCACTGAAAACCTCAGAACAAGCTCAAAACTTTGTTCAGTTTTTACGATCTGCATTAAACCGTCACATATTTATAAGCACTTCCGGAACAGTCACCAACAACTCGCATGCTGAATTTTCTGAGTATTAACTTTGTTAGCGAGTGTACACTTAGTAATATAAAATAAAATAATAAATAAATAAATATTTCCAACACTCACACCAATTAGCCTAGCCCCAAAGTAAGCACTGTAAGGCTTTTGTTATGGGATACTAGGGTAAAGGATAGAATACTTATACAGTCCATATATATTATATTTATATAGAAATACATATTAAACATCCATGACTCGAGTACAAAATGCTTGTATTCATCACACAAACATCTGCCCCCACCGGGATTCGAACCTGGGACCTCTTGAATCACCAACACCATGAAACCCGGCATATAAACCACTCGGCCACGGAAGTCGTCAAAAGGAGATTGCTCAGCTTCCATACATGTTTGGTCTAAAGACCAATAATCATGAAAAATTGTTTCCTAGATTCGATATTATATATAAATTACTATAGAAACGAATATTATTGACGGACACCCCCGATAACTTCTATAAACCATATACACTGAACATATTAAAATACTTAATAAAAAACAAATAAGTTATATAGTAAACTAGGGAAATCAAGCCAAGTACCGAAATTATGGATAAGATTCAGGTATATAGAGCATTGCCTGTTTATAAAGTTAATGCATAAGAGTAACTTTTAAAATCAGGTGTCATTTCCGGTTATAATAAGGTACTCTGTGACAGAAACTGTGTGATCATTGTGAATGCAATGAGCAGATTAGAGAATTTTTAAATTCTCGTTAACCAAAGAAAGCTAAGAGATTTAGGTTCTATAGCCATATATTCAGTAGCTTCATTATTTTTGTTATGATTTTAAGATAACCATATTTTAGATTTTTAGTGTATCACACCTTATAATTTTATTTATTTATTAATTTATAGTCAGGGAACGTAGGCCCATAGATCCTACCCACGGGGTGCTCCATGATCCTACCTTAAGTCCTTAGACCTTAAAGTCTAACATATATACAGATTATAATGTGTTTATGGAGGTGTTTGGCGTAAAATGTATGGCAATAGACTTTATGATGTCGCCTACCATCTATAATAATTGAATGACTGAATGTTACTACACCCATAGCCATTAAAAATGATTCGTATGCTTTCCAAACCGGTAAAATTAAAAGTCCTTTTTAAAGTAAATCCTTACTTCCTTACTAATATTATAAAGGCGAAAGTTTGTTTGGATGGATGGATGTTTGTTCCTCTTTCACGCAAAAACTACTAAACGGATTTTAATGAAACTTTACAGTAATGTAGCTTATAGATCAGAATAACACATAGGCTACTTTTATCCCGAAAAAAATGTTAGGTTCCAGAGGGATTTCCAAGAAACTTAGTTAACGCAGACGAAGTCGCGGGCGACCTCTAGTATATTATACAAAGGTGTCCGTTGAAATCTAATGACTGTAAATTAAATTATAAATTACGCCAAGAATTACCGTGTATGTCAATATTTTTTGTGCATTTAGGCCAATTTGAGCAATCTCCTTTATATTTTATATAATATTTATATTTATTTGTAATTTAAATTTTAAGAATTTGTAAAGTTATGATTTTCTAGGTCAGTCCGAAATCTTAAACGGAACTGTTACAATGAGGCCCAAGCACGAACTTTGAAAAATCCGTAATCGTATCGTCATCGTCTTTGTATGGGAGGAGCTAGTTTGTTCTTAATGGCGCGGTAACACTTGTTCGTTAGCCCGAATAGGAGTACCATTGGAATTCGGGTAAACGACTTAGTGTAAAAAACGGAAGTCGAGTATTTGGCTAGAGTTCCTTTTGTTTACCCGACACCGTCTTCCAGCCCGTATTCCAGTGTAAATATTGCTTCGGGTGCCCGAATTCGAGTAATGTGTTCCGTGCACCCGAATACGGGCTAATGACCAAGTGTAATTGGGCCATGAATAACAAACTTGGTCCTCCCTTACAAAGACGATACGATTACGGATCTGTCAAGGTTTGTGCTTGTACCTCTGGTCTGGTCGCGTCGGCCGTGTTCCTGTGCCCTTAGTACGAGTTCGAGCTCACGAAAACTATCATAGTTTTCGTAATTGTAAATTCTGTTTCTGTGTCCATTTTGGTGAAAAGTAACCAAATATACTTAAAATTTAAGAAGACGCAAATGATTTAATGACAGAATTTAAACACTGTTTTGTATTGAAACAAAAATAATAAAATCAGTACCCTTAGTACGAGTGCAAGCTCACGAAAACTATCATAGTTTTCGTAATTGTAAAAAAAGGGTACTGGTCTGGTCGCGTCGGCCGTGTTCCTGTATGTGTGTGACATGATGATCATTCTGTCAGTTAATTTGAAGCTAATTGCGCTTCAAATTAACTGACAGAATGATCATCCGGCGAACTGCTAATCTGAGATGCCCTTAAATCTTGATTTCATCGATCTTGCAAACAACGATGATTGAAGTGTTTCGATACCTTTTGTTCATCTTTGGAGGGACCTGATAAATAAAATGAATGTGTACAGGCAGCCTCATATCAAATTGTCACAAACTGTAAAATTTTCTCTATCTATAGGTAATAGGATTCACACCTATCGAGAAAATTTATAATGAAATAGGTATAATAAAACTCTTCTCCGCTGCGCTGCAGGACATGTTCGGAACGCTTAACTGGAAAAGACGCGGAATCAATAATAATGGCGAATACATTTCACACCTTCGATTCGCGAACGACATCGTCATCCTGGCTGAAACCCTACAGGACCTACAGGAGATGGTGAGCAGCCTGGCTGAATCTTCCAAACGCATCGGTCTCCGGATGAACTTGGATAAAACTAAGGTCATGTTCAACGAGCTCGTTGATCCGGGACTGGTTGCTGTTAATGGAGTACATGTCGAGGTTGTTCAGGAATATTTCTATCTAGGACAAACGCTCCGATTAGGCAGACACAACTTCGAGAAAGAAGCCAATAGAAGAATTCAGTTGGGCTGGGCAGCATTTCGTTTCGTCAAGTCTTCTCGTCATCCATCCTTCAATGTCTCAAGCCGAAAGTCTTCGACCAGTGCGTCCTCCCAGTTATGACATACGACGAGACGTGGACTCACGGTTGGACGAGTCCACCAGTTTTAAGTCGCTCAGACAGCTATGAAAAGGGCTATGCTCGGAGTATCCCTGAAGGACCGCATCAGAAATGATGTAATCCGACAGAGAACCCAAGTCACCGACATAGCCCACCGAATTAATAAACTGAAGAGGCAGTGGGCTGGTCACATTAGCCGCAGAACTGACGGCCGTTGGAGCCGGAAAGTTCTTGAGTGGAGACCACGACTCGACAACGTAGTGTAGGACGCCCTAAGACAAGATGAGATGATGACATTCGTAAGCTGGCTGGGGTGGGCTGGATGACAGTGGCAGAAAATCGGGAGCAGTGGCGTGCATTAAGGGAGACCTATGTCCAGCAGTGGACGAGCTTGGGTTGATGATGATGATGATGATGATGATGAGGTATAATGATGATCAACGCTCAATGTCAATTGAAATTCTGTCCGTATTAGAATCTTGTCCTGTGCTGTTTATACTTAGTTATTAGATACTTTACGTTGTAAGAAACCAACATCGATCTTTTAAAACCTAGGTGTTTTTCTACTCACCTATATGTTTAAGTGGATTCTGTGGTGGGACAAAGTGTCGAGCTGCCCTGCAACGTCACCACACTAGAGGAAGGGGACACGCTGGACATCCTCGCCTGGTACAGAAATGGATCATCAAGTTCATTCTACAGGTAGCTAAGTACTTACTTATGTGCAGACAGCTTTGTTATAATACTTATTGTTTAGTTTGTAAATTCTCAACATGCTTTTTTTAAGTGAAACATATAGTTACACATTTTTTATCATCTTTAGCAGGTCGCATTACCTTTTAATTGTTATTAAAACATTCAAACCTTATCAACAAGCATCGGTGATTCAGAGGTAGAAGGCTCTACTACTACGCGGGCGGTCCGGGTTCCATTCCCAGCCAAGGAAGAACTTTTTTAATAATAATTTTAAGTGTTACTTGCATCACGGTTTCTTAAAACCACACCGATTTTTTCACCTGCCCTTATTGCGCTTAAAGTTTAAATTTTTATGAAAGTTCCTCGAAAAATACTTATTGTTTTTATAAATTATTCTGTTATTTGAAAAATAAATGTGTATATGACACTTATCGCAATATCAACTTCTATCACACACCTACGCGTAGAATATACGAATTACTTAATGATATCACTGCGTCTTTTTGGATCAGCAGTCGCGATTTCCGCACCGAAGACGGTGGCAGCACGAAGTCGGGCCGCTACCAGTTAGTACGAGCCAATGACACCGTGATGTTGAGGATCTCATCGGTGACACCGGCCGACGCTGGACTCTACATGTGTCACGTCGACTTCTCCGCCAGCCCCTCTCTCAAAACTTATGTACAACTTGAAGTGATTGGTAAGCTCTAATCTTTATATTTACCTACTTACTACTATTAAAAAAGGTATAGGTAATTTATATATGTCCTATCTTTCTAATGCTGGCTTACTCCAACTTCCTCTTCGTTTAGCTTAAAACGACACTGCATTATTGCATTTGCCTGACACCTACATTATTGTTTTTTTTTTATTTATATTCGTTTTTTTGTCAAGCAATAAAGAATTTTATTTATCTCTTATAATCGGAAGTTAAGATAAACAGTTGTCTCAAAACTTTGCCACTTGGAGGGAAAGTACTAGAAAAGTTTTACTACAGAATAAAGATTTTATTTTAATTTTAAAAATAATATGAACTGCATTCAAAGAATTTTAAAAGATCGCATGTCTAAACCAGTAGTGAAACCTGTTAAATGTAAAAAAAAACTATTATTTTAAAAACTGTTATTTTACAGTAAAATAACAGTTTTTTTTTGTTAGGTACCGATCGAAAAGCGAGCAGATAGAGGTAAACAAAAAGATTTCATATACTCATGTCGACGAATTGAGATGGAAAGATTTGTCGCCGGCGGCATCCGCAATACGAGGCGAGAAGTCCAGTCGGTGATCAACGTTTTGTTTTCAATCGAAAGAGTACTATTAGTAAGGTCAATATTCGAAAGGTACAAGTCGCTTCCGCGCTCTTTCTCGTCAACGCGGTAAAACAGTGCCTAAAACAATGAAACATTATTAAAGAGAGATGGGGCATAGCGGCAAAATAATATTTTTGATATCAAAAATATCACTCGCGTCTAAGTATAGGCTGTTGTGGTTGTGGCCGCTTATCATCGGGCGGGCTATGCGCTGGTTTGCCACCCTTTTAACATTAAAAAGACACATTTTGGACCTCATCATATTAATTCTCTTAAGCACGTGTAAAGTCAATAGTTTTAAATCGTTCGTCTATGAAGCAATCCGTGGCGTAGCGATCGATCATAGCCATCTTATATTACACAACCTATTAGCTCAGTTTGTACGGAAGGCAGTCAATTGAAGCAAAAGCAGAAGACCAATTTGAGATATGGTACCTACTCTTTGTGTTAGGTCTCGACAGTACAGTGGTGCAGTCAATCCAAATAAACGGTTTGGGTTTGGCTACTGAGGCGCGAAATATTTACCTATGCAACGAAACGGCGTGCGCGAGTTAATTGGCGGCTGGCTAATGAGGAAGCTGCGCCGGAACAATTCGCTTCAGCTATATTAAACAATTACACGATGTAAATATTAAGTCATACTATATTATTTTCTGCGGTGTGGGTATGACCTATATTATAATTTGGTTTTTTATTTTTGTCGAATCTTCGGACTCATGGTGCTAAAAATAGGTTGATTTAAAAGTTATGGCTCATGTTTAAATGATCCTTAAAATGCAACTGTATATAACCAGGATAGGTTACCAGTTTTATTTTTTGAGGAACAGTTAGGTTCTTTTTTTTAGGATTTAATTCTTTGTCATAATATTCGTGGTTTGGGGACGCTTTAATAAAAGGCATATGTAAATGCCTATGTTGGTATCCATTCCTATGTCCGCACGTAATTAATACATCACTTAGTAAATTTGTATTAACAATTAAGTACCTAGGGTACTAAGTTCCCTTTGTAGCCGGCGAGGAATTTTATTTATAATACCTAGTTGCTTCTGATTTAATTTAAACTGATGAGATGAGACAATTAATTATATTTTTATTATTACCCTTATTGATTAATATCTTTAGTATTTATTAAGACATTTATGCGATTGTGAAAGGACGGAAAGCTTAAACTTTTACCTACCAGGGTTTCAGGGTCAAAGTAACGCTTCTACAGTATATAGAAAAACAGATTCTGAATAAACATTTATTATTAACTAGCTGTGCCCCGCGGTTTATTAGGGATATTTTCCCGCAGTAAAAAGCAGCCTATGTGTTTATCCCGGCGGTCAGCTAACTCCATAGGTACCAAATTTTATTAAAATCACTCCAGCCGTTTAGACGTGAAGCATTATCAAATATTCAATGGCGGACTAAGCCTGTCAGAGGCCCGGGGCAGTGAAGCTGAGGAAGTCCCCCAGCTGAAAAAAAATAGATTTTTGTTTATTTTATTAAAATCTGGCAAGTGAAATTTAAATTCGAATTAAATTATTTCGGCTAATCAAACGCACATACCTACAATATGGAATGGATATGGGTGAGAAAATAAAATACGAATCGATGAACAAAAAAGAAAATTAAATAAGTAAATCAAAAATACTCGTAGTTTTTTTTATTATTTGAAGCGTGTTATGTGTTTTTGTGCCCTCAATTTACTGAACTCATCATTAACTTCTGTGAAATCGATTTCTATGGTTTTTTTTCTATTGGAAGCACAGCTAGATTAACCAGTCGCTCTTGACCCATTGTAGATCGAAGATAATTAAGTTCCGAAAAACTTCTCTCGCATGATGCAACCGAGATGCAAATAGTCAAGAAGTATTGAAGTTTAAGAGATATACAGGTAACGATTTACTGAAGTCCCATTTTATTATAAATTTAAGGATTTCTTGGGCTCTCCAAATGGCAGCAACGTCCATACTCGTATACTGGCTTTTACATGCCTATGCGGTACCTTTTAATTTTTTGGGAAACTTGCTGCTTGTCAAATTCACCATAACTTTGTATCAGATTGTCAACTGCTACAGCCAGCTATCTGAAGCTTCTAGCATAAACTTTGTTTCTATAATTTGGAAAATATTGTTGATTTGTTTCATGGCCCCGTATCGTGCCGACAATTCTTGTATGAATCGGTCTATGCCTTCATACATTGAACGACTTATTTGTTCTTGAATTGATAATCCAGCATCATGAGCTAATTCACCCGGCATCGTTCTTTTTACCTTCCTTCTTCTTCGTTTCTCGATGTTGATGTCCATGTCATTGCATTTTTGTATGCCAAAAGTTACAGCATTGTCTACAACCGTAGTTCGTTCGGTCACTTAATACTCATTCAAGGCATTTAGTGTGGTGATTCCTGAATCCAGAGTCATTTTTGGAGACTGCAAATACTGTTGAACTAAATTTCTCCAGTATAGAAAGCCAGAATTGTATACAGGTTAGGAAGGTAAAATTATAAACAGCCGGCAAGAGCAGGCGTGCTCCTGGTCTTTTACCAAGATTTGCTTTTGTTGGATCTTGAACTTTTTTAACTTTACTTTTTCCAAATACTCCAAAATGCACTTACTCAACTCTGAACTCATTTAGGTACTTTTATACCGCAACAAAAACACTATTATCATTTTTAATGAAATTACCTATTTTGAACGAATAAGATCGCATTTATTTCTTTACAATTTGGAAAAAGGCTTATCCGTTCACGAAGATGTCGGAACACACTTATAAACTATTAAATATCAACGTAATAAAATTTAATAGGTATATTTTAAACGAGGCCGATGTTTATTTCTCAACGTAAATAGAATTTAGTGAATGTAAATGTAGGCGTAGAGTGAATTAATTGCACTTAATTCATTCACGGATTCCTGAGGAAGTACCCGCTACAGAGACGGTAATTCCCCCAGCGTATTGGACGCGTTCGGCGAAGTTAAAAGAGTATTAGTACCGCGTAAAAAGTCTAGATGGCTGTAGTGCTTTGATCTTGATGAAATTATGTAGGTACTAAGCACATTTTTAAGGCATTTGACCCCCCCCCCCCAAGACTGGATACACTCATTTTTAATACAACCAGTTTTTTAACAGATCCCCCTCAGCTTTTGTGGATGGTGCACGAGAATGGTACAAAAATTGCGATAGCTTCGAACGGCGCCAATGAGAGTAAGAACATCGGGCCTTATTTCGTTGGGGATACAGTCCACTTGTTCTGCATCTCTTTTGGAGGTAGGTATAATTTTGATTATTTCGTACCGTAATGTAGGTATTTTGACGTGGTACTTTCAAAGGGGTTGGTGTCAAAGCCTAAGCAGCTTGGGATGGCAAGAGAAAAGCAAATAGAGGAAATAAAAGGAAATAATAGCAATATCCCAAGACCGCCAGGCCTTACTTATTTTGTCATGGACAAAATATGGATATCAAGAACAAATTTACCTACAGTCTGAGACCTGATATCTATCTATGATATTTAGAGGACTATTATAATATTTTGTGAGCTGCCAGACCAATCTTAGGGGCCCAAACTACCCTAAGCTTATTTAAAGTGCCACCTGTGAGAAAGAGCGCGCTCATGGTAATTAAAAGCTTCTTTAAAGTTATCTTATAAATAATGTAAAGGAAGCCTTTAACCATAATTAAATAATTTCTCATTATCAAATTATCAAAATTGTTGTAGAAAATAAGTAAGGTTGTATTTTTTGCTTTCGAAATTAAAAGTGTCTGGCAATAAAAACTGCTGTCAGAATGTGTCTGGCAGTATTAATTTCATCAAATTGTTTACAATATTCTCTACAAAATAAGTAGGAATCAGTCTTCAGACTGTAAGTAAAATGAGTATATTTTTTACCTGCCCGTGCTACCTGATAATAGGAGTAACAGGTAAATCTTATCGCGTTTGGACTCTGGACCCGCTTAAGTCTTCTAAAAATATTTTGTAGGAGGTGCTTACTGAAAATGTTGCAAAATCTAAAATTGCCAAAATTTTAGGTATGTTATTGAAGAAAACTTAACTTACAACTCTATCCGATAGGTGGCGCTGTATTCGAGTTTTATATCTTTATCGGGTAGGACAACGTATGTCGGGTTCGCTAGTTGATACATAAATATCACCGCATTGTCTGTTTCCTATACTGGCAGGTAATCCACAACCGTCATTGTCGTGGTGGATCGAGAAACGTCTGCTGAAGGAGTCGTCGACGCCGCTGTCGCAGGAGCGCATGCGCAGTGACGTGATGTACGGCCCGCTCGAGAGGGAGGACCACGGGCTGGTGCTGACCTGCTACGCGGCCAACAACCGCCGCATCAAACCTCTCGCCATTGACGTCACGATCAACATGTATCGTTAGTAAACCATTACCAGACCTTAACCGTCGTCATATTGAAGTGTTTGTTGAAGGAGTCGTCGACGCCGCTGTCGCTAGAGCGCATGCGCATTGACCTCATGGACGTAGGAAACCTCAACACTCACTGGCCTATTAACCCCTGGTCTGTGCAGCCTTCCATTTTGTTTTCACGGCCGGAAAATATTTTTTTTTCCTGCCGATTTTCCTGTTTTAAATCAATCCTGAATAGTTTCTCTATGAATACTTTCTATCTTTCTCTGAATACTTTCTCTAAAAAATTTGTCTTTATAGTAGATGTGTAAATTAAAAACAATTACTAAATATGACAAAACGCAAAATATGAAAAATGAAAATATGAAGATAATTTTCTCAACTCGTGGCAGAAATCATCCACTTACACAGACGAGGGGTTAAATAAACAATAACAACTTGCGTTCGCAATGCGACCAAGTTTCTGATTTAGATCGTCATCATCATCAGCCTATTAATGTCCCCACTGCTGGGGCATAGGCCTTCCCTATGGATGGAATAGGGAGATTGGGCCATGACCCACCACGCGGGCCCAGTGCGGATTGGCGGGTGCTAACGACTGCAAGTGCAGCCGGGACCAACGGCTTACCGTGCCTTCCGAAGCACGGAGGAACTCGAGATAGAAGATTTTTGGCCACCCATCCAATGACCGACCACTGCGAAAGTTGCTTAAGTTCAACGATTAACGATAAGGTACCAGCAACGCTGGAGAATCCTTCTCTGAGAAGAGCCCACAGGGAAACTCAGACAGCCTCACCGTATCTGGGGGAGGCAAAATTTTGCTTAAATGTGATAAAAAAAAAGTTATGATACAGCAAACATTCCATCCAAGCTTATTTAACACCAGACCAAGAAGCTCATCCCTGGGAAATAAAAATAAAACAAACTATCAACTACCTGGAAATACAGAAGAAAACATAGAAGAATCCGTGGTTCCCGGAACTGAAGCCGAATCAAGAGAAAGTGGTGCTATTAGATCAAGAAGCCCACATCCTCCAGAATGGCAACGTGTACCCACACAAACATACCGTAAAAAGAGACAAATAGCAGACACATTCTCGCCAGATGGGGTTAAAACTACTAATAGCTTTGACAACCTACCAGTGGATTGCACTGAAGAAGACGATAAAGCTGAACCCAAAAAGCCCAATAAACCGCCGCCAATAGTTTTGTATGGAGTGGAAGATGTCGGGAAACTTAAGGAATTATTAAAAACTGCAGCAGAAAGAGATCAGTTCACCTTCAAAATAGTAAATCGGAATCAGATGAGAATTAGCTCCAATGACATAGAGGTATACAAAAAACTGATTTCAGTTGTTCGAGAAAAGGGACTGATTGGCCATACCTTTAAAAGGAAAGATCAAAGAAACTACAGGATAGTTATCAAAAACCTCCATCCGTCTACTCCCACTAGTGCAATTATAGAAGCTATTGAAAGCACCGGAAACTCGGTTACAGGGGAAGTAATCAATGTTAAGTATGGCCCTGAAAAGATACCAACTTCAACATTTTTCGTCAATATTTTACCTGGTTCAAATAACAAAAATGTAAAGGAACTAAAATATGTTTATCACCAATCTATCCAGATAGAAGACCCAAAGAGAAGGAAGGTAATAGTGCAGTGTCAGAGGTGTCAACAGTATGGACACACAAAGAATTACTGCATGAGGCCCTTCCGTTGTGTTAAATGCGCACTATCACATAAAACATCTGAGTGCATAAAGCGTGACCGAAACACCCCTGCCAAATGTGCCCTATGCCAAGGTCCTCATCCGGCAAACTATAAAGGATGCACAGTATACCAAGAAATTGTAGCTCGTAAAATAACATCTCTACCCTCGATAAGAAAAGCTGAATTTATGCGCCCGCAATCAAAATTAACGATGGACACTGGTACTTCAAAAAACATGAGTACTGAAGGTACTAAAAAAGGTAACTCATGGCCTATTGGGCCACCGCCTTGGGTTTCAAATAAGAATAATCCTCAAAATGATATAGCTAAGTCAGAATCCATACCAATAAATAACATTGAAAAAATCCTCTCAAAGCAATCACAACAATTCGAATTAATATTATAACAAATGAGTACCATGTTAGGTCTCTTGACAACACTGACAAACAAAATATCAAAATAGGTAGCATCAAACTGGCAACATGGAACGCAAATGGACTTACACCGAACAAAGACGACGTTCAAGTCCTAATCAATGAGCACAAACTTGACATAGTACTTGTTACAGAGACCCATTGTACAAGTTCAAGTAGCGTTAACTTTAAGGGCTTTAACACCTATTATACCAATCACCCGGATGGAACAGCCCATGCAGGGACAGCTATAATAATCCGGAAGACCATAAAACACCACTGCATGCCGGCGTTTAAGACTGATTACCTACAAGGAACCACCGTTGCTGTGGAAGACAAATGCGGCTTCTTCAACGTTTCCTCTGTTTACTGCCCGCCAAAACATAAAATCGATCAAAGTATGTTCAACTCTTTCTTCGCATCACTTGGACGCCGGTTTATTGCGGGAGGAGATTGGAACTCAAAACATACTCATTGGGGATCTAGACTGATAACAACTAGGGGTCGACAACTAAAGAGCTGCGTTGATTCGAATCACCTACAAGTAATATCAACTGCAGAACCGACATACTGGCCTACTGATATCAATAAGATACCAGACCTTCTGGACTTCTTTGTTGTAGGAGGTCTCTCCAAGCATTACTTCAGATCAGAATCTAGTCTTGATAGCTGCTCGAACCATACTCCAGTGATTCTAACGGTGAGCAAGACTCTTATAGAGTACGAAACATATCCGACACTAACCAACAAGTATACAAACTGGGATTACTTTCGAGAATATATAGACCAAAATCTAGAGCTAAAAATGGCACTAAAGACACCAGAGGATATTGAAAATGCTACCCACTATATAACGACTATAATCCAAGAAGCGTGTTGGAAATGCACTCCGGAAATAAAAAAAAGAAATAATTTGGAAATTCATCCCCCAGAAATAAAACAAAAAATTCTGGAGAAAAGACGCTTGCGAAGAGTGTGGCATCAAACCAGGCATCCAATGGATAAAACTGCCTTGAACAAATCTATTGCTGAACTTAAAACTGCATTATCGGACTTGCAACATAACACCCTGCAGTCAAAACTGGAATCTTTAACAGCTACATCTGCCTCAAATTATTCTCTTTGGAAGTTTACCAAATCCTTAGATCGACCTCAAGAGGCGAAACCTCCTATAAAAACTGCTACAAACAAATGGGCCAGAAGTAAACAGGAAAAAGCAAATGTATTTGCGGAACATCTCTCAAAAGTGTTTACTCCCAATGAAATAGGAGATGTGAACTTTGATAAGAGCGTGCAGAGCTTTTTAAACCAAGACTTGCAGTTGGACTTGCCACCCAAGCCAACTTCAACTAGAGAGGTATGGGCCCTAATAAAGAGTCTCAAGGACAAAAAAGCGCCAGGCTTCGATTTAATTACGAAGGAAGTTTTAAAAAACCTCCCAAGGAAAGCAGTAATCTTTTTGGCAACATTATTCAATGGCATCTTGCGAGTACAACATTTCCCGAGTATATGGAAGATATCACAAATAATAATGATTCGGAAATTGGGAAAACCAGCGCATGAAATTACTTCTTATCGTCCGATAAGTCTATTACCAGTTTTATCGAAGTTGTTCGAGAAGGTCCTAAAATCTAGACTTATGCCAATGCTTGCACAAAATAAAACAATTCCGGACCATCAGTTTGGATTCAGGGACCTTCATTCGACTGTCGAACAGGTTCACAGAGTGTGCAGTGTGATACGAAATACTCTAGAAGATAAAGAATATTGCTCATCTGCATTCCTAGACATACAACAAGCTTTCGACAGAGTCTGGCATGATGGATTGCTCTTCAAAATCAAAGCAAATATCTCACACAGCTACTATCTTCTCATGGTGTCATACCTGTCGAATCGGCTCTTTCAGGTAAAGGAGGATAATTTCACATCGCTTTTCTATGAGATAAAAGCAGGAGTGCCCCAAGGATCAATTCTTGGCCCCATACTCTACACGATTTATACATCGGATCTACCGGAAGTGCCAGGAACTACAATGGCAACCTATGCTGACGATACAGCCATTTTGGCAAAGAATGACAGCCGAGTCTTAGCTTCAGCAATGCTTCAGAAGGGACTAGATGAAGTAAATACCTGGCTAAACAAATGGCGGATAAAAGCTAGTGCTGATAAATCTGTACATATTACCTTCACACTGAGACGGGATAACTGCCCACCAGTTCACCTTGGCAGAAATATACTTAAACATAATGATTCCGTAAGGTACCTTGGCATGCACTTGGATCGGCGACTTATATGGAAAACCCATATAAAAACAAAAAGAGACGAGCTCAACCTCAAATATAAAAACCTGTACTGGTTGATAGGACGCAATACTGAACTGTCTATCGACAACAAATTGCAAATTTATAAAAGCATTCTGAAGCCGTGTTGGTCGTATGGCATTCAGCTGTGGGGAAGTGCTAGTGACTCGAATATCAACATATTGCAACGATTCCAAAACATTGTCTTAAGAACCATGTCAGATCCCATGGTTTATCACTAATAACGAGCTACATGATAATCTGCAAATAAGAACCAAAAGGGAAGAGATCCAACAATGTACACAGTCATACAAGAGGAGGCTTATTAATCACCCGAATGACCTAGCTTGCCAACTAATTAAAGCAAAAAGAAAGACACGGTTGAAACGCCGTGTAATACTAGAAACCGACTAGACTTAGTTAATGTAGCAGGAGTAGATATCTCCAATGGGAGATACACTTAGGAAAAGACATCAAATTCACACAACAAATTTGCTTATAGTCTTCGACTGATTGCAGATCTTGAGAGGAATAAAAAAAAAAAAGTTCAACGATCGCAGCCGAACATGCTCACCACCTGCGCCATCGAGCTCCTCCTGATTTAGATATTTGTATAAAACTGTTATTAAATCACAACAATTTTTGGTGTAAAATATTTTAAAATTTTATCCATGTAACTTAAAAGACCGCTTGAAAACTTTTTAAGCGATGCTGGTGTTTTTTGTATATAGATAAAGTTTAAAATTATTTCACTTTAAAAATGCTAGTTGTTGCCGGCCGCTGCCATTCCGGTGTGAATTAGGTACTTAGGTACTGTTCAGAACCAGAAAGGTTTCTGTATTCTATAAGTCCCTTAAAATACCATTGCCTTACCTTAAAACGGTGCAGGCTGCGAAGTGCGGCACGCTCCTGTTGATGCCCTCCCTGTAATTACCGCTGCCCTATCTTAAATACAACTCTTCCGTGTTCCGGAAGGCACGTTAAGCTGTTGGTCTTGGCTTCATACTGCAGTCTTTAATCTGCAATGGGCTCGCGCGTCACCACGCGAGCGGCCAGAGTCCGTTCTCCCTATTTCATCCTTAGCGAAGGCCAGAGCCTGATGCCGATCCGATGATACGACCATTGCCAAACCTTCACCAAATCTTTTTCTACCCTTTTATAAACAATCATATCTAGTGCCTCCCGCGTTGGTGAGATTGCGGCAGCCGTCGAACGATTTGAGCACGACGGCGCAAGTGCGGGCAGGGGCGCCGTTGGATCTACAGTGCCGAGTGCTAGGCGCGCGACCGCCTCCGCCTATAGAGTGGAGAATCGACGACAGACAACTCTCCACTATAATACAAAATATAACAGTAAGTCCAGGAACTAAACAGACTATTAGAAGTGTACAAACAGATGCATGCTATTAATTTATCACACCCGCACACCCGATACGCATTGGGGGGATCTCGGTACTCACAATACGTGTCGGGTGACCGGTGCAGAAGTATTGTCTGGTTTTTAGTGGCCCTGTTCAGGGCGTTAGGTAGGGCCCTGCTTATTTCATCCGGCCCAAGAGCTAGCTGAAATGAGCAGCGAGGAGTCCCACATTTCTTCTTCTCGCTTCCCCGGTGGTCGACGGATGTGTAAGGGGCAATCGGAAGACTTGCCCAGGTGGGAGAATTGAACAATCTTTCAAAATTTTATTAATATTAAGCGCAAACAAAACGTCTATTCGTTCATAGGTCACATACGGCTCAGAAACCGTTATAAATTTCAAACCGGTTTGACCATAAGTACCTATGTAATGTGTAAATGTGTCCTAATCAAGAAGTGCTTGAATATGACTCAAGCACTTCTTGGATCCCACAGGAAAGAGAACTGTAACAACTACGGGTTCACAGTCACGTGCGGACCGTTGAATAGTCAAGATGCCGCCGAGTTCTGTGAAAAATGCTAAAATAAATTATAAATCTTTATTTTCGCATTTTTCACGGTACGTAAACTATCGCTTTTCGACAGGTATCTGTTTGCTAATTTAACGCATTTGAAGCAAATATTGTTCTAATAAGTACTTACTATAAACTGATTTAATAGAAATTATTTGTAATATTCAAATGCACGGTCGGTACTATAGTCGTCTCTTTGCCTCGCGGTCCTTACCTACTATATCGCTAACAGCGCATGCGGAATTGCGCGTAGAGTCAAAGAAATAAGGTTTATATTCTTTCGCATATAGCAATAAGTTGTAAAATTTTACGAGCTTGCATTTCGTACTGCCATAACTCTTTGACGTATGCGTTTTATTTAAGATCTTATAATACAGTATGCATTAAAGGTGACTTTCGATGTTTAAACAATGCCTTATATTGTTTTTGACTACGCGATCATGTTTCAGAGCTCCGTGGGTCGTCCAATGTACCTTTTGGACAGGTTTCGGATACGATTTTGTTCGCGTTGTTGTATCTAGGGTATTTAATATCGTTGATTAGTACATAAGAACTTAATAATTACGTTTTCGTTCCGTCAAAACCGGTTTTAAAACAGTAATTCTTAAAAGCAAACTTTATCGTATCGATGACGTTATAAACCGCTTTTTCAAGGTTTATTTCCGAATCACCAATAGAGGCCTACTCTAATTCAACCAAAAACTAAACTTGGATCGAAACTTTGCACGATTTTTACTTTATTTGTTAATCATTTCTAATTATTATAATATTGGTTCGCCCGAAAAAAGGAATTGAGGTTTACATTCTCTTAAGCCGGGTTCTCATGGGCTAATTGTAACCATAACCGTTGCATGTACTGTAACCAAAAAACATAGTGTGTACGTGGTTCGCTAGCCTGCTGCGAGCGGTACGCGTGGGTTTGCAGCGAGCCGACATTTACAACGTACTAATTTCTGAACCCGTAACCTTGCACTTACTTAACTGTAACCAAAAACATATTGTGTACGTGGTTCGCGAGCCTGCAACGAACGCTACTTTATTTGTTAATCATTTCTAATTATTATAATATTGGTTCGCCCGAAAAAAGGTATTGAGGTTTACATTCTCTTAAGCCGGGTACTCATGGGCGAACTGTAACCATAACCGTTGCATGTACTGTAACCAAAAAACATAGTGTGTACGTGGTTCGCTAGCCTGCTGCGAGCGGTACGCGTGGGTTTGCAGCGAGCCGACATTTACAACGTACTAATTTCTGAACCCGTAACCTTGCACGTAACTGTAACCAAAAACATATTGTGTACGTGGTTCGCGAGCCTGCAACGAACGCTACATGAGCGACTCGCAGCGAGCCGACAATTGTCGGTTTTTTGCCGCGAATCAAAGGGCGCTCGCAGTGCGCTCGTGGACATCAAGAGGAGAGGTTGCTTACATGTATAAGTATGTATGCTGCACAAGTGAGAGATACTTCGTCCGAAATCGTGGACAACAAACCAACACTGCGCAGATCCGGCTTGCCAGTGGCTTTCTCGTACACACTAGAACCTCGTTACTGTATCTTACAGTTACTGTATCTTACTGGTTACAGTTACAGTCCTAAAAATGAGTAGTTATAGACCTGCAGGCCCTCAGCGTCCAGCTTTTCTCCTCAACCTGCCATTAATGTGTATACAAACATGTGCCGCTCATTTCCATATGCTGCGAAAAACTACAGAAGCTATGTCAGACAACTTTAATCACATTTTATCGTTTTTAAGACGGAATCATCTCAACGATTACTAGTGAGCGAAATCCAGTTGAGGTTGGGACCTGAGAACGACGAGTCTCGGGTAACTTGCTGCGCGGAGATGTACGCCCGGGATGATGACACGAAATATCTGTGCGCGCAGCCGCTGCATATCGTTGTATTGTGTGAGTATAGCGTCTTATCCATTGTATAGATAGCGACAAGCTTCTAGAGCAAAACCTCAGAAAAATAAACTTGCGCAGTAGACGTTTTTAACGACCTCCGTGGCTGAGTGGTTTGTACGCCGGGTTTCAAGGTGTCGCCTATTCGAGAGGTCTTGGGTTCGAATTCCGGTGAGGGCTGTTTGTGTGCTGAATACGAGCATTTGTACTACAGTTATGGATGTTTAATATGCATTTCTATATAAATATACTTATATATGTATCAGTATATGTATTCTATCCGTTACCCTAATATCCTATAAGAAAGCCTACAGTGCTTACTTTGGGGCTAGGCTAATTGGTGAGAGTGTTGGAAAAATATTTATGTAAAATTGATACTGCACGTAAAAGCGTCTACTATACACGTTTATTTATCCATGGTTTTACTCAAGAAGTTTGCCGCCACCTATACCTTCCCCTGTCTTAAGGGATGTCATTGGCGGCATAGGTAGACACCTATGTCTAACAAACAATTAAAGACCAAGCTCTAAGAAATTACTCCTCCACATCTGTATTCTCATATTAAGTGTAGAAGAAATCCAGTGTGGGATTAGCTATTAATTCATTCATTACCTTGCCCTAACTACAGGGCGCACATTGGCGCATAGATAGACATCTATGTCTAAACGACATTAAAAGTTTATAATCCTAAAGATATAGCTCCTAGAAATTAGTCTGTCACACCTGATATTAAATGTAGGAGGAATCCCTAAGGAAATCCAGAAAGGATAATGATGATTATGTGGCCGAGATACGTGCACCACCTATCACCGAATTGGACCCTATTTAACTACCTTGAAGAATTCTGGTAATCTTTCTTATTGCATGACGTATTCTAAGAGAAGAAGCCGTTGGCTACTCTCAAGTTCATTTAATTTGACCTTTAACATTAAAAAGAACATGGATAAGTATCGATATACTGAAAAAAGACAATCTTCAATAGAACTTTTACTTTCAGACCCACCTTCAGTTCAAATCGTCGTTGAGAACGAATTGCTCAACAACACCATGGCCGTGGTCAAAGGATCTGACGTAATAATGAATTGCAGCTACCAAGCAAATCCAAATGTTCACAGACTAATGTGGTATCACCAGGTACAATTACAAAGCAAACTAAACACATAGTGGTGTCGATTTTGGCGTAATTCTCTAAACTTGAATTAAAGACAACAGTGGCGTCGATTTTGGCATGATTCTCTAAACTTAAAACGAAATTATACATCAGCCTCTCTTTTTCATTCTGTATAGAGTGACAAGGATACACTGTTAACAAATTTACGTTAAGGTTAAGAGAATCATGCCGAAATCGACACCAGTGTATCCTTGTCATGCTCTATACAGAATGTAGAGACTGATGTTGAATTTAGTTTTAAGTTTAGAGAATCATGGCGGTATCGACACCATTCACCAATATATTTACAATAATGAATAACTCTGCGTATTTATTGCGTTGTTAACGTAAAATAAGGTGTCATATTTATTTACAGGTTGTTTCCTGTAAGGTGTCAAGCCGATGTGAGGTGGTAGAGGACTACATTACCTATTTATTGAATCCCTATGTATGCTTAGTGATTTCTTATAGTTTTCGATCCATTATTTTTTTTATTAGACCGATTTCATCAAATTAATAATGAGCGTGGGATGCGGTAGACACCTTGCATCGACTTGACACCTTAAAAGAAACATACTTTAAAATAACATTCTAAATTTATAGTGTTACTTCTGTAAATTAGGATGACGTATTCGCAAAATACACGTCGAGTGAAGTTACCCCGACCCTGGTAGTGAGTAACGTGACAGAAGAGCTGGCCGGCGAGTACGCTTGCGAAGCGACCAACGCGGAGGGAACCGCCTACAGCGAGCCTGTGCTCATTGACGTTACATGTAAGCAGCGGCCGTTAACACAGCATAATATTTTTTTAAGTGTAAAAACTAAATTATAAGCAACATAGGCACTTCCTCATCATTTTATATAAATGTCTATTGCGCCACCGTGACAATTTATTTTCTCGCACTTTTACTGTTCAACTGGTAGAGTGTGGCATTAAGTCTGTCCTTTGCTATTTTTTGCAATACAGTATAAATAAATAAAAACTCGTGTCAGTGAGTTTATTGTCGAACTCTTCCGAAATGGCTTCACCGGTTTTTATGAAATAGGTTGCTACCTCGCAGGATATTTTTTACAGCCCTCCAGTTTTTCTGCGAGGGTAGGCGTAAAGAAAAGTTCGGTTTGAAAGATTGATCTACTTTAAATTTTAATAAAACTAGTAATTACAAGTTTTTATATATATATATTTTATGTTAGATTGATATTTATTGCACAATGCCGGAGAGTGTTATCTTCCCTGTTACTTGAACTGTTTGTGAGTTGCCGTAATGAAAACACGTTCGTCTTGTACAACGGTTTATTCAAGAAGGAAGGATGACACCTTATAAAATTATAACAAAAACAGTTGTGGATACCTTCAATATAAAATATTAACTTTGTTGACAAAACCAATCTTATTACTTAGTATTAAGGTTGAAAGTAATTTATAACATCTATAATACATACATTACACCCTACCACTTATTCAATGATAAACAAACCAAAAAAAAATAATAATAATGAAGTACAAAAGAAAATATAATTACAACTATATTGTAACCAAAAAAAAAAACAATACTCAATAAAACACGGGGTTGCCGAATCTTTCTACCGGTTTTCTGACCCGTACACAGGGGTCCGGATCGTTCACTGCCGGCGCGGCGGCTGGCGCGCTAACGCAATCAGTTGGACCCGAACTGGGGCACGAAAGTATTGAAATCTGCGATCTCCTTTGTATCTGATCTATGTGCCTCTTAATAAGTTGACCGTTTTCCCGAGCTACACTATAATTACGGGAACCTATTTTTTTTTCTATTTTACCCTTAGACCATTTATCATCCCCCGTGCCAAAATCTCTAACCCATACCTCCTCTCCTACTTCAAAACTACGCGGTACCCCGCCGGCATTTTTTATCTGATTTTCCTGCGCTTTTTGTGCGTTGGTTACAGCATTATTATTCTTTGCAGTGCAAAGAAGATCTAATCTAGATCGTAAATTCCTATGTTGCAACAACATAGCTGGTGTTTGACCAGTTGAACTATGAACCGTGTTTCGATATACAAAAAGATAAGACTGCAGCGCTGTGTCAAAATCAATTTTTTCGTGTAAAGCTTTCTTTAGAGCTTTTTTGCAGAGCTTTACCGCGTTTTCAGCTGCCCCGTTCGATGACGGATGGTACACTGGAGTGAAGGTGTGGTTTATACCATTATGTTCCATAAAATTACTTATTTCTTTGCTAGTGAATGGGGGTCCGTTATCAGACACTATTTCTTTCGGGAGATCAAATCGAGAAAATATTTCCCTTAAAACTTTAATTACGTCCCTGGCTGTCTGGTGAGACATTCTATACGCCTCAATCCATTTTGTTGTCGAATCCACCGCTACAAAAAAAGTATACCCGTCAAAAGGTCCCAAAAAGTCTATGTGGAGTCTACTCCAGGGCTCGGCGAGATAAGGCCACGGGCTAGGGGGCGCGTGCGGCGGAGCGGGCGCCTCCAGCGCACACACTACACACTCTCGGCAAGTTCGCTCAATATCCGCGTCTATTCCGGGCCACCAAACGTAACTACGAGCTATGCTTTTCATCTTTACTATACTCATGTGTCCCGTGTGCAGTTCTTTTAAAATACAATCACGCAGCTCGGATGGTATTACCATCCGATATCCCCACATGATACATCCCGAGTCTAAATATAATTCATTTCGCCTAGAAAAATAAGGTTCTATGTCCGATGCTGGACATTTATTTGGCCACCCTGAACGTAAAAACATACTAATTCCCGTTAAAATTTTATCCTCTTTAACTTTTTCACAAACTAAATCTTTTGTTATTGGTAAAAAATCCTGAACAAAATTTACATATGTTATTACTTCCCTTTCCACACAGCTGTTTTCGATAGGTAGCCTAGATAATGCATCCGCGCTATTTTTTAATGTCGGTACATACTCGATATCATATTGATACCCTGATAAAATAACTGCCCATCTCTGTAACCTGCTGGCCGCCATGGTAGGTATACCTGCCTTTTCACCAAAAATACTGACGAGCGGTTTGTGATCAGTCTTTAACAAAAAATGCCGGCCGTACAAATATTGATGAAACTTTGTGACACCGAATATGATAGCCAATGCTTCCCTTTGTATCTGTGAGTAGTTTACTTCAGCCGCACTAAGCGTTCGGGATGCATAAGCGACAGGTCTTTCGCGGCCGTCGCGCATCCTGTGTGATATGACCGCCCCCACCCCGCGTGCACTAGCGTCCGTCGTCAGAATAATTGGCAATCCTGGGTCATAATGCGCTAGCACCTCGCTTGAAACTAGCAACTGCTTGACATTCGTAAAAGCCTCTGAACACTGATCCGTCCAAACAAACTTAGAATCTTTTCGTAACAACTTATATAAAGGAGATAACAGCATGCTTATATTTTTTACAAATTTAGCGTAGTACATTACCAAGCCTAAAAACGAACGCAACTCGGAAATATTTTTCGGGACTGGTGCTTTATTAATCGCACTCAACTTTTGCGGGCAAGTATGTACACCCTCTTTACTAATTACATAACCTAAATAAGTCACCGATTCTGCGAAAAAAGTACATTTCTCTTTTTTTACTTTTAACCCAAAACGTTTTAACCTTTCCAAAACTTGGTATAATGTTTTTACGTGAGAATTATTATCGACTCCTGTTAAAATCACGTCATCTAAAAATACCCCTACTGTAGGCATGTCGGCAAACATTTGTTCTAATTTCCTTTGAAAAATACCCGGACTAGACGAAAGACCATAGATTAATCGGTTATATTTAAAAAGACCTTTGTGTGTATTGATCACAGTGTACATTTTAGAGGATTCGTCAAGTTCAAATTGTGCATAAGCCTGCGACAAATCTATTTTCGAAAATTTTTCCCCCCCATGTAACTTAGCCAATAAATCTTCTACCTTAGGTAAGGGAAAACGGTCCACTTCTAGGCATTTATTTAATGTGATTTTATAGTCACCGCAAATCCGTATAGATCCGTCCTTTTTTATAACGGGTACAATTGGCGTGGCCCAGTCCGAAGTGTCAACGGGCGCGATGACGCCGTCCCGCTCCAGCTGTTCAAGCGCCCGCTCCACTGGCTCACGCAGCGCGTAAGCAAGCGGCCGCGCGCGCCGGAACACGGGCCGCGCGCCCTCGCGCACACGCAGCGACACCGCACCACCAGTGAAACGACCCAGACCCTCTTCGAACACATCACTAAATCTGGAAATTAACGAATCCATACTTAATGCCGTAGTACTAGTTCTAACAAAATTACAATGTAAATCGGCAACATTTAATCCTAATTCGTATATCCATTGCCGACCCAACAAAGGATTTTTGCCTTGTTTCACAACAAACAAATCTAATGAGACACATTTATTTCTGAACTTGACAGTCGGCCTAATTTTCCCGATCGGAACAATTTTAATACCAGTATAAAAGCATAGCACTATATTGGTTGTCAATAATTGTACTTAAATCATTAAATTTACTTTTGTAAAAATCATAGCTCACACAGGAAATAGCACTTCCGGTATTAATTTCCATTTGGATATTTTTATTATCTACTTCAATACAAGTCATTAGAGGCTTATAAAAATCATAACTATAAGTACTACTAAAATTATTTATATGTACCTCTAAAGGTTGCACAGCATCCTCCTTGCCCTCTTCATTTACCTCCATAGTATGTACTGTAGCCCTCCTCCGCAAGCGTGGACACACTTTTCTTAAATGCCCTTCTTCGTTGCAAACTCTGCAGGTATACATTAAGAATTTGCATCTATTTGTATCGTGAGCCGCTCCACACGCCCCGCAACTGCCCGTTTTATACGCTGATGAAAACGCTCCCGCCGCCGTCTGTCTATCCCGCGCGGCCCGGGCATCGTAAACTCGCGCATCCCTTCGGCCGGCACTCCACTGCGCGCCATCACCGAAGCCCCGAGCACGCGGCCCGCGCGTGGCGGTCACGTGATGCACCGTGTTCGACCGGCCCTCCCGCTCGCCATTGCTGGTGTGCGTGGTACTCCGCATCTGCACTGCCGCCGCGTCCTGCTGAGCCGCCTCCATCGATACGGCGATTTGAAATGCCTTCGTAAATGTCACCGCTTCTTCCACGAACAATCTTTGTCTAATATTATCATTATGCAATCCACAAACAAACTGATCTGAAACAAATTATTTTCAATCTCTTCGTTGAAGTCACAGTACTTTGCTAATTTCTTTAGACCGGCCAAGTACTCCGCGATCGTTTCGCCATTGCGTTGCATCCGTTGACGAAATTTGAATCGCTCCGCTAATATGCTCGGCTTCGGTTGAAGGTAATTCTGCATCAAGGTAACCAGTTCGACGAATGACTTTTTTGCAGGTTTACTAGGTGTACATAATGTTACCAGTAGCTCATAACTGCCGCTGCCCATCACCGTAATCAACGTGGGCACTTTGTGTTCTTCTTTGACATTATTCACAATAAAATACTGCTCCAATCTTTCGACGTATAATGTCCAATTATCCACCTGGTGGTCAAAATATTCCAATTTCCCGACTGACATTTTTCACTATTTTAAACTTCCGCACTAGGGTTTCGTAAATCGTCGCCAATGAACTGTTTGTGAGTTGCCGTAATGAAAACACGTTCGTCTTGTACAACGGTTTATTCAAGAAGGAAGGATGACACCTTATAAAATTATAACAAAAACAGTTGTGGATACCTTCAATATAAAATATTAACTTTGTTGACAAAACCAATCTTATTACTTAGTATTAAGGTTGAAAGTAATTTATAACATCTATAATACATACATTACATGAACCACAATACACTGTAGCTACACTTTACTTTTCACTGCTCTGCTGATCAACCAAATGGACACCATTTAAGAAACCCTGTCTCAACTACAACGAATGTTCACTGAGAGGATGAACAGCTATGAGAATGAACTCCAAGCTGCCACCCCATCATCCACTGTTGCCAGCCTCACTACAGATTTTTCAGCATTCCGGAGTTTCATCTTAACATCCATCAATAGTCTCCAAATTCAAATTCACCTTCTTGCACGCCAGGTAGACAGCATAGAGATGCATAACCGCAGAAAGATCCTGCTGTTTCATGGACTGCCGGAGTCTTCAGAGGAGGATGCCACTGCTGTTGCAATGAAGGCCATTAATACTCAATTAAAGATTTCATCTTTCTCTAACAAGGATGTCAGTCGCTGTCATAGGATGGACAAAGCGTTCAAGGACCTTAGATAGGAAAGGAAGAATAGAGATGGGACATTTACCTTTCTCGCCACGATCTCTTTAATCCTTTCCAATCCGGTTTCCGTCCTGGGCATAGTACCACAACTACTTTGCTTAAATTGACTGATGATATTCGCCTTGGGATGGATAACGGTCTCCTTACGGTATTAACATTGTTGGACTTCAGCAATGCTTTTAACACAGTCAACTTTGATGTTCTTCTGGCATTGCTGCGCTCTCTTAACGTATCTCCATCAGTGATTGAGTGGCTTCACAGTTATCTGTATGGGCGCAGGCAGCGCGTTCGTCTCGAAGAGAAATTTTCTTCATGGAGCGATGCGACTGCCGGTGTTCCGCAAGGCGGCGTCTTATCTCCTCTTCTTTTCGCTGTATTAATCAACTCTGTTTTATACAATATTTCTTCTTCCTACCACCTAGATGCAGATGATCTTCAAATTTATCGCCAAGCACCTCTTGGTCAACTTGAGGACGCGGTGCGAGCCACTAATAGTGATCTCCATGTAATTACAGAGTGGAGTAAATCTTTTGGTTTGGACTTGAATCCCACTAAGACAATCAGCATAATAATAGGTAGTTCTAGGATGATAGACAGAATCGATTGGAAGTCACTACCCAGCATCGAATTGGCTGGTAATAATATTTCGTTTAGCACATCGGTTAAAAACTTGGGGTTGACGATCGACACTTATTTGAGTTGGGGCCCACAAATGCAAGTGGTGAGTCGCAAACTATTTGCTTCAGCAGCGTCACTTAGGAGACTACGTATTTTCCTACCCGTCACACCACCAAAATTACCTTAGCACAGTCATTACTGCTTCCTATTCTTGATTACGCTGACGTCTGTTATCTTGATCTCACAGAAGAACAGCTTAATAAGCTTGAGCGACTTCAAAACTTTTGTATTCGCTTCATATTTGGTTTGCGCAAATATGATCACGTTTCTCAATTTCGTTCGCAGCTCAAGTGGCTATTCGCCTTCGCCGGAATACTCATATTCTTACTCTTCTCTACAACATATTGTTCAATCCTAAGTCCCCGCGCTATCGGTCATCAGAGAATCTTACCCTCATGACTCCTGTACACAGTACAACTTTTTACAGTCACTCATTTACAGTTCGAGCCGTTCAGCTGTGGAATTCTCTCCCAGTTTCGATACGAAGTGCGGAATCGATTCACATTTTTAAGAATCTCGTGAAGTCTCACTATTTGTCTTTGTAATGTTTTTTTTTTGTTATAGAATCTCTTTTGTAGTTTCTACCGACTGGACTAGATTTATGTATGTATATGTTTATGCGTATATATATATATTTATAAATATAAAATATATGTGTATTTCTTTGTATATGTATATGTATATATTAATAAATTACATTGAAATTTACGCCGCCGTCTCTCCCACTTCCTTCCAATCCTCTCCATCCAAAGGTTGTCTGGAAGAGATCGCTTTTAGCGATAAGGCCGCCCATTGTAACACTTAATTTAAATGGCTCTGTATTTATTATAATGTATTCTGTGATGTTCAATAAAGTGTTTTGTATTGTATTGTATTATTTTTTTATTGATTGAGCAAATTTTTTTTTATTTTGTTACGATTCGGAATCAGAAAAATAACCCAAATTTTTCACTGTTCTACCAACTCCTATAATGAATAGCGATATGATAGCGGTACGAAGTTTGCTGGTTCAGCTACTGAGGCTTTCCCTATTGACATAGGAGTCGCACACATAGAAAGTGCCTGACCCACTACTCGAATGGGCCTAGTGCGGATTTGTCTTCTTCCTTCTTATAGTGCCTCTCCATTATTGAAGGTTGGCCATCAATTCGGTGAACTTCTGTGTCCTTCGCGAGGCGATAAGTTCAGCGGCGCTGTTGATACCACACCTAACTTTTCTCTGTTTGACGGTCTGCATGATTTGGCGTTTCTGACCAGCTCGACGGAGAACTTCATCATTAGTCACTCAATATCAGTCCAGCTGATAGCCAACATACGCCGTTAGGCCCACATTTCAAAGGTATATACGTTTCTTGAGGTGCTCCTTGAACGTCCAAGCATCGCATCCGTAAAGAAGAATGGGCCATATATAATACTGCAGAATGCGAACACGTAGATACATTTTTAATCGGCGACTGTATAGTACCATTTTCATAGAATTAAATGCACTACGGGCTATTTCTATGCGAGTCTTAATCTCGAGATCACTCTCCCAGACATCGTTCAGTCACATGCCGAGATACTTGTACTTGCGTACCCGTTCCAATTGTGCAGTTGCCCCAGTAATACAAAGGTCGGAAGCCGGACTCTTTGAAATTCGGAGATGAGGAGCGGATTTGTAGCGGAGCTACCTTCATTATCAAAAATTACAAAAAAGGAATAATTGGATCTAAAAACAAAGATCGCTGATGGTTTGTTTAATTTCAGATCCAGCTGTTTGCCTCGAAAAAGGCATCACCGAATACGGGTTGGGAGAAGACGAATTTTTAAATATAACCTGCCAAGTGAATGGCAACCCTGCGCCGAGTGCTTACCGATGGGTCTTAGCTAACTCTTCGGTCAACGCCGTCACTCTCCATACTGTTGCTCAAGAAACATTGGAAACTGACGAGCCGACTTTACTATACCAGAGACCCAGTGGTATACCTTATAGTAAGTAGGTAGAATTTCTGCTGAGGACGCATTATGTTATAAATGTGTCCAGTAGTAGATAGTGGCTATGTTAGCATTCGTGGATCGGCGAAATATATTTTAATATTAAATTTTATTTTAATAATTATAAGTAAATGTTTAGTACCTACATATTTTTATGATACCTGCGTTGGAAGCCCACTCTCCAAGCATGAGTACTGGCGAGTATGCTAAATAAAGTGCTATAAAACTGTGATATGAATGATATCGCGTTAGCCCCGATAAGACTGTGATATGAATGATATCGCGGTGCTCGTGCTAAAAGGGCAGGTACCTGGTGGGATATAGTACTTAATATTCTTAGCCTATATGCTACCTCGCAGTAGATAATAAAACATAAGACTCAAAACATTTTACTGACTTACAAAAAAGATATGGTCAAATCAATCTCGTAAGACTCAGTTCGGCCGACGAATCCGGCGTGTCCGAAGTTGGAATTTTTAGGTATAAAATCAAGTCAACTGACGTTTTCCAAATGCGCGCGCAGACAAAACGCTAATTTCAGCGGCCCAAGCACGAACTTCGACAGCTCCGTAATCGTATCGTCATCGTCCAATTCTATATAGGAAAAGCCGGTTTGTTGTTACGACCTGTAGGGGCGCTGCTTGATTTTCATCGAAACTTTGACGATGTGATACGATTACGGAGCTGCCAAAGTTCGTGATTGGGCCTCAGCCTAGCTAGGATTCAACGGCCATACTGGACCTGTTTATAAATGACCCACCCCCTGCGTCTGTTGTATTAATTAACTTGTATATTTCTTACTACCTACCTATCGAATTCAACGATTCAAGCAAGTGAAATAGAGATGAATAACTGGCGCAGGTATCTCTACCAATTTGTAAATATTAAATCTACAGGCACAGTATTTTGTTGGGGGCTCAACGGCGTATCAAGCAGTGGACTGTCACACACACCATGCATTTATCTAATAACCGACGAAACTATCCCTAAGCCGCCTTATGACTGCGTGGCTACAAGAAACGCTTATAAGGATATCGTAGTCACATGTGCGAAAGGATACGATGGAGGGTTGCCACAGGTGCAAAATATAATATTCTTCTTTTCTTGTTTACTATTTTCCAACTATTTACATTAGATACTGTTTGCATATATTAATATTTTGCATAAATGAAGCACAATTTTAATATAAATATACGTTTTATTTTCTTTTGCAGAAGTTTAACTTTGCCATAATATCATCTTCTGACAATAAAAAGTCAATAGTATCAATAAGTAACGTCGAACCAAAGTTCTTGGTACCAGAACCGAACGAAGAATACTTTAAATTCATTATAACAGCTGAAAACGACAAGGGAGAAAGCGGAGAAGTTGAAATAGATAAAAAAGACATTATCGATGAAATCCCTGGTAAGCCATTAATTTACCGTTGGCTTGCGAAACGTCTGTTTTTTAGTGAAATTAAACTGAAATTTATTGATTCATATCGAAGTGATTCTCTGCCGTGTTTCGGCGGGCACGTTAAAAAACCATTGGTCTCTTTCTATTTATTACGTTTCACCAATCACTTTTAAACTGGTATAAAGCAGATTTTAATATGATTTTTAATTTTATTATTTTTAAAATTTAGGTCCTTTTACTGGATAGATATTGCGAGCACGGAGACAGTAAAGGATCCGAAACCCCAAGAATAATGTAAAAAACAAAAGAAATTGACACTAATTATTTCATGACGTTTTTTTAATTGCCTATTTCAGATTTGGAGGGACTGCCAAAGAGCGCAGTGGCGAACATAACGACGTTGACGCTAGCCCTATGCGGGGGAGTGCTTTTGGTGGCTTTGATCGCGTGCGGGCTGGTGCTGTGCGCGCACGAACGCAGTTCCAGACACGATATACCGCACGACCGTTCCGACCCGCCTCTGTGCGCTTACAATACTGAAGGTACCAGACACGATATACTGCACGACCGCTCCGATCAGCCCCTGTGCGCTTATAATACTGAAGGTACCAGACACGATATACCGCGCGACCGTTCCGACCTGCCCCTGTTAGCGTATAATACTGAAGATACCAGACACGATATACCGCACGACCACTCCGACCCGCCCCTGTGCGCTTATAATACTGAAGGTACCAGACACGATATATCGCGCGACCGCTCAGACCTGCCCCTGTGCGCTTATAACACTGAAGGTACCAGACACGATATACCGTGCGACCGCTCAGATCTACCCCTGTGTGCTTATAACACTGAAGGTACCAGACACGATATACCGCACGACCGTTGCGACTTGCCCCTGTTCGCTTATAATACTGAAGGTACCAGACACGATATACCGCACGACCGTTCCGACCCGCCCCTGTTCGCTTATAATACTGAAGGTACCAGACACGATATACCGCACGACCGTTCCGACCCGCCTCTGTGCGCTTATAATACTGAAGGTACCAGACACGATATACCGCACGACCGCTCGGACCCGCCCCTGTGCGCTTATAACACCGAAGGTACCAGACACGATATGATGCGCGACCGCTCCGTCCCGCCCCTGTGCGCTTATAACACCGAAGGTACCAGACACGTTATACCGCGCGATCACTTGAACCCGCCCCTGTGCGCTTATAACACCTACTCCGAAATTAAACATATCATATTATTTTATAAGAAAAAAAAGCAATTTCAACTCCAAACTCCGTCATTGATAGACTTTTACAATCTAAAGTAATTCACGAGCCGGCTAATACATACAGTGTTTTCCTATTATTAGCGGCCGTCCGTGACTATGCCAGCTCACTGAACTAACTAACTAACTTTTGAACCACCGTTTTACCCATTTAGGCCGCGTTGTTTCACCGAACATTAAATTTTACTATGGTGAAATCCTATAGAAGAAATAACCATTTGGCAAAATTTGACAAAGTTTTGACGTGGCATTAACTATAGTCAAATTTAACTATATATGAAAGAACGCGGCCTGAGAGCGCACGCCTACATCATATTAGCTGTATGTATGACAAATTTCAGCACAATCCGTTCAATGGTTAGAGCTGTGCGTTGATAGATTAGAGAGTAACTTGTTGCTTGGTAGTCGTCTGTATATATAAAAGGCAATTCCTTTTATATACTTCCACTTAGTGTTTTAAGTTTCAACGGTCTGTAGCAAAAATATATTTAATTGGTTGAGCAATAATTTTAAAAACACACGAAAAGATGGTTAATAACTCAGCTTTAAAACTGCGTAGGTAATAACTTTTTGCTCAATGTAATATTTATTTTTAGCTAGGGACCATCAACATAAAATGCTAAGTGGGTCGAAAGATGTGTCCGGAAGTGTATATAAAGACGAGTATCAAGCCTGCTTGGAAGTACGTAACATTAATTGACTGTTCATCACTTGAATGATTTTCTTATAGAATCGAACTGCGACACGTTTCACGGCAGCGACGACGGCAGCGAATGCAACGTTAGGCGCACAGAGTCGTTCCGGCGAGCCGTCTCAAGATACCCTTCGAGAAACTTCGACGTGCGCCGCACTAGCTCCTTCCATTCCGCACGCTATATGAACGATATGGCCGAACACAACGAGCCAAAGTTCGACACGTTCCGACACAGCCCCAACTGCAGGGTGCACTCGTTGCAAAACATCAGCAGGAAGAGGGACATGGACGCGCTGTGCGACCACCTGGTGATGCAGATACCGCCCGAAGTTAACTATAACGTGGCGAGGCCTGTGAGTGTTTTTATGTTATTGTACGGTTTGCACACCTTTTTTTGAAAGAGTTAATAAAGTGAAAGTTCTGATATAAAATAAATGATATATTCAACAAATAGGGTATTTCACAAGTTTTAGAAAACGGTCTCACTTTATTGACTAATGTTTATGGAGTCCGTAAAAAGTGGATATTCATCATTCTGTTGTGTATTTCAGTAAAAGTAACCAAATCAAAAACTCCATTTTCAAGTTCCCGCGAAAACGTTTCTCTGGACGAAATGGCGTCTTACTAGTGTGTGACGTCACACGACTATTATTAAAACGTCAAACGATACAATGTAATGTCACTTTAACCGGAAGTTAACTTGCGTGTGACGTCATTTTAGGCTCCGCCAATCCCAAGCATTTTGGGTCACGTGACAATAAATAAGAAAACTATTATCTTCTTCGTTAGTTTTTAGTAAAATTATGAATTTTTTTTTGTAAAAATAATAAAAACCCCTGCCAATATTCATTCTAAACACAGATGCTAACAATTGGCACTTTTTTGCACTTTAACACTGTCAAATACTCTATTCAACTTATAAGAATAATTATGATAATTGATATGAGTATGCGCGGCGAGAATGAATACCGATGGCAGTCTGATGTGAGCGTGACCTAAATTATCGAAAGTGCCGTAAAGTGCAAACTAGACCAAACTGTACGAGTCGGCTCGTACAGTTATCCTAATTATTGCATGTGTAAATTAACAATCAACACAAAAAAAGCTACAAATTATTTCACGACGTTTAAAAAAGTTGTATGATATTCAGATCACTCAGACAAATATCTCAAATTCCACGTTATCTTATATTAAATTGTAACTCTCAAGTGTTTTCATCACGAAAATAATATACAATAAGAAAAATATAATTTATGCAATTTAACAAATACCTATAACATTACAGATGAACACATTCTACACAATGCCGAGAAAAATGAGACAGAAATTAGCAAAAGAACTCAGCGACGAAACATCAGAGATAACACAGACCTCAGACGGATTCTCTTTGCCGCCCCCGCCCGACGAGTACGGAAGCTACCGCGCCGGTCCTCGCATAAGAGATATGCCCACAAAACCTTCACCTACCTACTCGACATTGAGAAAAAGCTTAGCGAAAGAGGCGCGTGCGCAACCTAATCAGCAGTATAATAACGTCATCCTATCTCCTTTGAACACAGTCGGGCTACCCACTACCAGCGCAGCACACAACAGCGTTTACAGTTATCCCGATGATGACAGTCGAGCGCAGGTAAGCACCAATCCATTCGGTGAAGACTCCTCATAACATCTATTACATCCATTATCATTAATCATCATCTTATTCACAGAAAACCACTGGACTTTTAAACACTTTCCATAGCCAATCTAGTGCTAAGGAGTCAGGAATATAGCTGTTACTAGTAATTTTATGTTAAAGTCATGTAACATTAGATCTCAAGGAAATATTAATAATTTCATTATCATTAATACGACAACATGTACTTCAATCATCATTTATTTACAAAAATAGAAATCTTTACACGGCGACTTGCCATTTTTTAATCTCTTTACATGTTTCAAAGTTTTACATGCACATGATTTAAATTAATGTAAAAAGTTAGACTGCTTTTGGTATTTATCAAAATGGATTCACTGCCAAACACAATTGTAGTAAAACGATAAATTTAAAAGCATAATTGAGGATTATTATTATTTTTGAAAGTCAAATTTTTGTATTTTTAACAATTATTCTTAAAAATAAACTATTATAAACCGTCTCGTTTCTTATTTCTTTTTCCATTATCATTAGGAAGGTCTCTCAATTAATAAAGATAAACAACAAAATATTATCAGATGTCACAAGCAATATTTTGATTTTACTGGCTACATTATAATTGTGGAATTATCAACTTAATTAAAACCTAAAATTGGATAAATTATCTAAGCTACATCTAGAGACTCACTCAATCCATGCGATCTAAGTGCGCCTGCGCGACTGTAAGTCTTTCTATGAGACTTTGCGTGTTGGGTCGAGACTGAAACAAAGTTCAAATCATCACTAAAAAAACAATGATTATGTTACGCTGATAAAGTAAAGGGCACCAGCTCATCAGTATTTGATAGTTTACTTTCATACACCTTTGGAATCTATAACGTGGTTCATGTCTGTGTCTGTCTGTATGTCTGCACAGAATTGTCCACAATTATTTTGGGGGAATTCACACAAATGCAAATTTGTGCACACTTAAAAAACAAATCTGTAACTATGACACACAAATACACAATGACATAATACATCGCCAAAACCTGCACACATATATCTTTGTATGCCCAATTTAGTCCAGTCAATGAAGATTTTCACCTCAGATTTCGTTCAATCACCATCGATTTTCATGAAAATTGGTGAGTAGGTGGGGGATACCTTAAGAAACAAAAGTGACATATTGCCAACTTGCGCTTTTGCCCTGGGGGTAGATGCCACCCCTTCTCGGGGGTGAAAATTATTTTAATAAAAACAACTCCAGGAATCGATAGTGAGACAGATTCTAAGCAAAATTAGTTATAAAGTTTTTAAAATAAATCAATACTTTATGAGTTATTAAAGACCAAAGGTTGGTAATTTTCGTGATAAAAATACATGTCTTAAAGCGGTTTTTCACAAATAACTCAATAATATTATTACCAAAATTGAAGCTAATAAAAAATTCAAACAAACCCCTACTTTGAACAACCTTCTTAAATTAATTCAAAGTGAGCTATAGGTTATTCTATGAACATTTTTTTCGGCGAGTACTTAAATCTAAGTAATCAAACCTAAATAACGGGAAACCGATGCATTTTATGATATATACTTCCTGAACATTTTTTAAGGTCCTCAAACATACCTTTCTATTGAGCACTGTAAAAAGTTAATAGCATCAAAATTGAGCAAGTTATGATAAAAATACGATCACACTTTCGATTTTTTTGGAAAAAACAGAAAATAAAACCTTCACCATGTCAAAAAAAAATCAAATTTACGGTTTAGGGATCTAAAAGACTTTTTTTATTCTAGCATGAGCGATGACCTCAAAAATTTTGCCCGGTTTAAAGCCCTGATTTTTTAAAAGATAATGCGTTAAAGGGTCCCGGTTACATGGCTCTCGTAGTAAAAGTTAGGCTTTAAACGTCTCTATCTCGGTTATTTTACATTCTATAAAAATAAAATAAAAACCCAGATATATTTTTGAAGTTATTTTCAAAAGAAAATTAAATTAACGAAAATATTAAAAATTTCGATTTTATTAAATCATACCTTTTTTTGAAAAATAAGCATTTTAAACCGGGCAAAATTTTTGAGGTCGTCACTTATGCTAAAAATAAGTAATTCCTTTAGGCTGGTTTTAGAATCGCGCCGATCGTCAGCGCTGAAAGGTGAGCGGGTAGCCTGTCGGCGCTGAGGGTGAGTGCGAAACGTTTCAGTGTCGTGCTGATCGCCGCGCAGTACAGACGTAGACACTAGACGCAAAATGCGGAGAGCAATAATTATTGCTGCTTTATACTACCTATCGAAAAGAAAGAAAAAAGTGCGTCGAAGACTTCATGTTCATCCATTGATTGAGCAGAGATCCGTCGCAGGAGAATTTGTTACGTTATATGGGACTTTAAGGGCTGACGAAACAAAATTCTTTAATTACTTTCGAATGTCGACGCGAACTTTCGACGAATTACTAGCAAAGACCGATTACAAACTGGTCCATTCCAGCTTACGACGTGTGCCTAAACCACCGATTGAAAGACTGATGGTGACGTTAAGGTAAGAAAAACATTTATATAATCACATAATATTTATTAGGAAAGAACATTTTTTCACATTATTATTAATCGTTACGTATGGCTGTTTGATACCCAGAGTAACCTGGAGTCTCATCATTTGTTTCGTACTCTGAGTAACCTGGAGTTGAATTATTGTATGATGAGGATGGATACGGGTCATATTGCGGTGGAGATCTTATGTCATGTGAGTGGGAAGATAACGAGCTATTTGATCGGTAATTTTTAATTTCCATGGCATCGCGCAACACTCTCGACCGAAACTCTAATTTTTGTTCTACATTGAAACTTTTTAAAATTGGACCTAAAGAAGAAAAGAAAGCCAGGTCGTCAGCAGCAATATCTGGTGTTTGGTTACTTAATAAAGTTAATAACTCTCTTTCAAAAGATGGATTTTTTGGAATTTCTTGAATACTTTGTTGCGATCTTCTTTTTCTTTTTTGGTTCCAAGGTCTTTGTGATGAACCGGAATTATGGTTGTTTTGGTCGTCCTGTAAAGTGTCTGAAGATGCTTGATGCGTTGGCATTTCAGATTCTTCCGTATTTTCTGAAGGCGGTGATGCCGTATTATTCATATTTGCTGAGGGTGATGGTATGGTTTCGCTCAGTGATTCATCTACTTCATTCTCATCTGCCGGAGTCAGGAAGCTGAGTTCATCATAAAAGATATACTTTTTGTTGGTGCAGCGCTTCCAGAAGGTGTTTTTTTCATAGCATTCTTTGTCCTAAAGTATGCATCTCTGGCTGTCTTCCATCTTTGTTGGATCAGTTTTCCTGAAACAATAAAATCATTTTTTTTTTATAATACAAACGATTGTATAATGCGTTTTACAAAATTATTTTTACTAATTTATGCATCCAGTAACGTTATCCACAGATCCCACTAATATTATAAATGTGAAAGTTTGTATGTTTGTCTGTTTGTATGATTGTTACTCAATCACGCAAAAACTACTGAACGGATTTGGATTAAATTTGGTATACATATAGTTTATGACCTGGATTGAGACATAGGGTCCATTTTATCCCGGAAAAATGACAGGTTCCTGTGAGATTCTCAAAAAACTAAAGTTGACTCGGACGAAGTCGCGGGCGGCCGCTAGTTAAAAATAAATAGTAACGTGCTAATGTGACAGAATTTAATTAATCAATATTATTTTTTATTTTCAGATTTTTGGCTACGGGTCGGACATATACAGATCTACATTATTCATTTAGGATTGGAATTACAACAATCAGTGTAATCGTGGACGAAGTGTGTAAGGTAATATGGGAAACACTACAGGATGAATGCATACCAACCAAAACCTCTGACATGTGGCAAGAAATTGCAAACGGGTTTCTACAAAAGACCAACTTTCTAAACTGCATCATAAATCCAAACGGTGGTGGATCAATGTTCTACAATTATAAGAATTTTTATTCCATAGTTCTCCTGGCCATGTGCGATGCAGATTATTGTTTTACATATGTAAACATTGGATCATATGGAAAAAACTCCGATTCATCTATATTTCAGAACAGTACACTATACAGGAGCCTAGAAAATAACACTTTGAATATACCAGGACAGAAGCCACTGCCTGGAACAAATACTCCATTTGAACATGTAATTGTGGGTGATGGTGCTTTTGGAATATCTAAAAAAATTATGAAGCCATATGCGCGAACTAATATGATGACCTACAAGAAAAAAAATATTTAACTATAGGCTGAGCCGTAGTAGACGATATATAGCATCAACATTTGGGATAATGTCAAACAAGTTCAGAGTGTTTCATACACCTATTAATGTAGGTTTTAATGTTGCAAAGAATATAGTTAAAGCATGCTGTGTATTGCATAATTTTATTAGACTTCGCGATGGTTATCGTATTGAAGATACACTAACAATTGAGGGTATGGTAGAAATACCAACTGTACCTACAAACAGGTCTGGCAACGCTCAGAGAGAACATTTTGCTGAGTACTTTTTGAGTCCTATTGGTAGGGTGCCGTGGCAAGACTCGTGTATATTTTAAAACTCTTTACTTTGTTCTAGTGTATGTATTGTAAGATAATAAGGCTAAACTATACTTTCTGGGCCCAAGAGGTGTTACTTCACACTAGGTTAGGTTAGTGTTGTGACCATATCGAGCGAGCCGAGCGTGCCGAGCGTGCCACGGCAGCGCAGCGGCCAGCGAAGCACCAGAAAAAAATCTTCGTTAATAGAGACGTTTTCAACGAAAAATTGAATAAATTACCTCTTGGGCCCAGCAAGTACAGTTTCACCGATAATAAAATAAAACACTTACCAAGTTGTTGTTTTTCTTCCGCCGAAACATTTTCGAATAATGTGATGACAATATCCTCCCATCCTAGGATTTGTTTCTTGCGTCTTTATTTCTATAGAGTGCATCGGATGCATCCCACAAATTCCTTCTCAGACGTACTTCATCGATCACTCAACTTGTGTCCACATCGCGATTCGACATGTCTGTACACGCTGACGGCGTCGGGTCGGCTTGACAGTAAAACGCTCACTGAAGACGGAGGCGCGCGATTGATGGACAGCGCTGACTGCTACGCGGCGCTGACGCGCGACGCGTACGGCCGCTGAGCTGTCAGCGCTGACCACCGTCCGCGCTGATAGCTACGCGTTATTCTATAACGCTTCCTAGAGTTTCATATATTTCAACTAACAGCGCTGACGGTCAGCGTGACTCTAAAACCAGCCTTAGGGATAACCATTAATTTGAATTTTTGTGGAAATGGTAAAGGTTTTATTTTTGGTTTTTTCCAAAAACAAATCGAAAGTGTCAGCTTATTTTTATCATAACTTGCTCAATTTTGATGCTATTAACTTTTTACAGTGCTCAATAGAAAGGTATTTTTGAGGACCTTAAAAATGTTCACGAAGTATATATCATAAAATGCATCGGTTTCCCGTTATTTAGGTTTGATTACTTAGATTTAAGTACTCGCCGAAAAAATGTTCATACAATAACCTATAGCTCACTTTGAATTAATTTAAGAAGGTTGTTCAAAGAAGGGGTTTGTTTGAAATTTTTATTAGCTTCAATTTTGGTAATATTTTTTTTTTGTAAAAACTCATAGTTTTTGAGTTATTTATGAATAAAATCGATGGAGGTACAACGAAATCGGAGGTTGTAGCTGATTTTTGCCTTCATTGACTGGACTAATACGACAAAGGGGAAAGCTGTGTATGACTAATACGACAAAGGGGAAAGCTGTGTATGACTAATCCCCTCCTAGCCGCGTCGGCCGTGTTGCTCTTTGGTAAAACTACTAGATTTCGCTATGTGGCAGTGAGAGGCGACAACTCACCTGCAAGGAGGATAACGCCGCTTCGTGTAAATCCTTGCATCGGGCGAGGGCACGGCGACGCGCGGCGGCAGGCAACGGTGCCAGCTCGCTCCGAGCCGCGTCCAGCAGCAGAGCGGCAACGGCGCAAACGTGCGTTTCGTCACCGCAACCCAACCATACGCGCTCATTAACGCTCACCAATCTGTTACGATTTTTTTATATATGTTAGACTATATGGTATTAAATTAATGATGTTGCCTGATTATAAATAAATAAAATAAATTTTATCAAAACATTCAGAAAGGGTCACATTTATATTTTAATAGCTGCGTTGTGTAGATTATAAAAATAATAATAACTTAATGGACCACAATAACATTTTTATCAACATTAGATATAAATAATAGTTTGTTAATTAAAAATGAACCAGATATAATTTTATTTATGAACATGTATGTGCACGATAAGACTAATATACTATTTGACAGTTTGGAAAATAAAGTACCAATTGTTGGCAATTCTGTATTTAATATGAATATTAGCAGCGATTTTACTATTCTAAGAGAACAAATAAATAATAACTTTTCTAAAATATAATTAAATTAAAATGATTTTCTTTAAATCATTAAATTGAAACACCTGGGATTGGCGAAGAATAAAATGACGTCACACGCTAGTAAACATCAGGTCAAAGGGATATTACATTCTACCGTTTGTCGTAACAATCGTGTAACGTCACATACCAGTGTAACACCCTAATGTCCGTAACTTCTAAATTTTTGATTTTTACTGAAATATACAACAGAATTATGAATATCCACTTTTTATGCACTCAATAAACATTAGTAAATAACGTGAGATCATTTTCTTTAACTTGCCAAATACTCTATTAGAACTTTTCAGTTCTGCTATTAAGTGTACAGCATTATAGTTTACTGTTCACATTCAAGTGATGAGACTTACTTGATATAAATGTCTAGGACTTGTTCTAGTGCCACGCCAATATTCAGCACAGTTCTGAACACCAAACTTTGGTCAGCTTGCATTTTGCAGCTCATTATTTCCAACTGTCGCACAATGAAATCTGAAAATAAATGAATTTTGTATGCAACAATATTCTATATGTGTATATAGACTTAAATTTGGCAATTATAGCCTATAGACGCTTAAAACATAGAACTATCGCATCATTGCGCTTTGACGACCTTACACACAGTATACACATTATGTCCACCTTCAAAACAATATTTATTAGGAACCCAAGAAGAGAAATGTGATTTTAGACTTTTTTGCCGATCAATCGACCAACTAACTACCTTCCTTGTCTGCTGTGTCCTGCTGTTTATACCAGACTGCGCACTGAAGTAGCGTGAATCGCGACGCTTGAGAAGGGTCTTGTTTGTGATGGTATTATTTCGGTAACTTTTTTGAAATAAAGAACCTTTCAATTAAACACAGTGATTTGATCAAACATTCTTTTGGATTATCAATTTAATTTTCTTGTTCACCACTCACATACTGTTTATAATTAAATACAAAATTAGCCCATATGCAGATGTCCTTACCATATTTCAAGCAATTCAGATCCAAAACAAAAAACCTGACTGGACACATAGATAGTTGACTGAGAAATAGTTATTCAATATCTACAGAGGTATCAGTGACCCTGGTCATAAAGTTATATTTTTTTAGCATTTAACTGCTAGATGTTTAAATCTAAAGAGAATTTTACAAGGGAAATATCAACGCGGACCAGGCAGGCATAATATACACTTTATCCCAGAAAAATTTCGGGTTCCTGTGGGATTCCCAAAAACTAAAGTTGCGATGTGTCCCCGTGTTCACTTATTCTCTGGCCAGTGTAGTCAGTGTTGAGCACGGAGGTCATTCTCTCGTCGGCAGTAGGCAAAGTCCAGAGCGAATTGGTGGGTACTAATTACTGCAGATGCAGCCGGGACCAACGGCTACACATGCCTTCCGAAGCACAGATCGGTGATCGAGATAATATGTTTTTGATCACCCATCTAATCGGCCACTGGAAAAGTTGCTTAACTTCCATGATTGCACTAACCGCCTACGCCATCGAGCTCTTCGGGGCTATGAGTACATAACTATCCTAAACAAAATTTTATTGTGGGTAAAGATGCGTATAGATGGCGCTGCCTCTGCTGCCTAAGAAATACTAGAAGAAATTCGACACGGTCATTAAGGTAGTGGTAGCATAATTAGTCGGTGCATCCGCCCAGATAGCTAAATTAACGTTAACGCGGACGTTGTCGGTTAACGCGGGCGACCGCTATTATTATTGATGTGTATCTTTCCTCTCGCTTTCGTGCAATTTGTGGGAGTGATTACGTGAAGTGGGACGGAAGTGTGTAACACGAAGTTTGGGAAGCGCGCGCTATTTAATTTGATTTTAGAACATAATGTCCAAATGGCTTATTCCTTTTGTAGGTTTTATTTCTTTTTTGCTTATATAAGGTGAGGTTTCAAATGTTGCACATTATACGCGACTACTGTAAGGCTCGCTCGTTTTTTATTATACTTACACAAAGGGAAACAGTGTCCCGTGTTCACATACTCTCTGCCCAGTGTAGTCAGTTTGCTGAGCACGGAGGTCATTCTCTCGTCCGCAGTGGGCAAACTCCTTGCGGCCGTTTCCGCCTCAGCCAAGATGTTACTCCAAATGTTCTCGACCAGCAGTGGGTCGTTGTGCCCAGAACACTGCACTATGGCCAGCTTGCACTCCCACAAGTTGTATCGGTCAGCGTACTCTTCATATAACTAAGTGGAATTAAAATTACAAATTGAAAAGGAGGGGAAATCGATCATTCTATATGCAAAACAAAAAAATCAAACACCATTCAACATACTAATGATTCGATGATGGGCGGTTTCTGTTATTTTATTTTTTAATGAAGACAATGGACTATTTGACATAAAAAAAAATATAAAGGACCCATTAAATTGGCATGTGTATTGAACATGCATATTGGGAGCGATTACACTATTCTGACAAAAAAAAGTAGTTGATGACATTACCAAAACAAAAACGCCTAGGATTGGCGGAGCCCACAATTACGTCACCTGCTTGCAAACATGCTGTCAAAGTGACATCATTTTCCTCTTTGTCGTTTTAATGACAGCTGTGTCACGTTTCGTCACAAGCGTGAAATAAATAACAACAATAATAATTGAAAAATAAATAACGTGTCAACGTTTTCATAAACTTCCGTGCCCTCCTCTATCCATCACAATATTACGTAAAAGAAGTATCCTACCCACCAATCCGTACTGCGGCCGCGTGGTGGGGCATGGCCCGGCCCTTCCGATATCGTTAAACTATTAAATAAGCTTTAAACTAAGTCCACAGCCACCGCCGTCAGTGGTCACCCACTAGCATGGTCGCACTTCTAGCTATCCACCCAGCTGCTTCGCCAGGTTGTAACGGAAAATCTTACATTTTTTCGCCTAGCCATCCGCCATACTGTCCGACGAAAAGGAACTTAGTTTCAGGGGGGCTACTCTCTCTCTCCGAAACGAACTTTCAATAACGAAGTTCAAAACGAAATGTAATTTCGTCATTTTAAGGTTATCCTTAATTTGAATGATTGAAGCCGACCGCAGCCGCCGCGATGATATTCCGACGACGAATATTAAAAACGAACCAGAAATATAGTAAGAAAAGTACGAAATTTCGGTCTACACCTCCAGTTCCTTTTCGTCGGACGGTATGACGAAGTGGCATGCATCCACTGTAGATAGTGAAGTAGTCGCACCTTCGCCGCCTCCTCCAGACGTCCTTACCTGCGTCACCTCCAGCAGCTCGTCGTGCAGCCTCTGCAGCGCGGCAGGTGGGGGCTGCAGCGCTCGCGGCAGCGCTGCTGCGGCGGCGCGCACGCCCGCCTGCACGCGGGCCACTTCCGCCGCTTCCTCCAACCGCCGCAACAGTTCGCCGCCGCCCGCGCCACCCGCGCCCGCACCGCGCACGCACACTACGCCCGCTGATAACCACGACATGCGCTGCGCGAGACTCGCGCCCGAACTGTTTACAAGAATTTCATAACTAATAGAAGACAGGCAACCCAAAGCGCAGCCAAAAAAGCTGATTTGCATTTCGGTAAGTACAATAGCGAGTTAAGAAATCGGACACTTAAGCATGTGCTTAACCGACAAATCCCTGTCCCCCTGTCTGAGATGATAAGAACTAAAGTCACCGAAACCGTAAGTTTACTCGCTACTGGTGTTGATTCTGGATTGATTCTCCAAACTTAAAACCAAATTTATTTATTGTCTCTCCGTTTCATTTTGTATAGAGTATGACAAGAATACGTTGTTGTCAAATTTTAGGTTTAGAGAATCGTTCCAGTATCGCTACCAATGTACTTACCGAAGTGTAAATTAGACTTTAAGCAAAATTGCTGATTAAGGCGAAGCCCACATCAGGAAAGGCGCGGCGAAAATACTAAGTATAGCGAACTCCGAACGCGGCCAAGAGCCATGGAGCGAAATAGTCCTGCGCCGGCTCTCGTGGCTGCTTCGTAACGCTGTGCGCCGTTTGTGTATTACTCCTCGATTACCTTGAAAATTTTAAACTTAATACAGCAATGAGGGGTTGTATTACTCCACGATTACCTTGAAAATTTTAAACTTAATACAGCAAAATGTAAACTTCCCAGTATCTTCGCCGCGCCTCTCCTATAGTGCAGCGCGCAGCGCCTTTGTTGACCCAATAAGCGAAAGTGCTGATATCGGGGACTCCCAAAAACAAAGGTACTCAGTAGAAATCCCGCTAATTACGTTAAAAATATAATGTTAGTGGAAATGAAATTTCAAAAGACGTCAAAAAATCACTGAAGACGTTAATAGCAAACAGAAAAACCATCACTTTTGCGATACAAAAGTCTAATGATAACTTCTAATCGGTTTAAAAATATTAATCTTTTTCAACTCAAAGGAAAATATTGCAAAGAATTATAACTCACCCAGGTCTGATGGCGAGACCTTCCAGCACGTTTGCCGCAGCAAGGTGATCGCCGCATTTCTCCAGAACCTTCCACAGGAGGTCTAGTAAATGTAAGGCGGTAGCAGGCGGCGCGTTGCGAGCCGCGGCCTGAAGGTAAGTGCGAAGAGACGGAGGAGGCGCCGTACCCAGTGACAGCAGTTCTAGAACATTCCGATCACTATTGGTAACGAGGCTCAAGCGATTATCGCCTTAGTTCCTTTAGTCAAACTTCGTAATAGTGATTTTTTATTTTGCGACGCCTGCACATCGAAAAATCCTTGGTCCTGGGTTCGTTATTCCGGTCCGAGTGGAACGTGGATACGATCATTAATAACTAAGTTGTATATATTTCTAATGAAAATAAATTATCTATGTAACGGTATACGTATTTTTATCCTTAATCCTTACTCAAGCTTTACCGTATTACAGTACAGTACTTTAGGGCTAGGCTAACTGCTGTAAATGTAAGAAATCCTCATTTATTATACATACCTGAGCCCAAATGTTTAGAGACGAGCCACTGATAAACTGCTACGTGGAGTAGTTCGTCGTCGCAGGACAAACATTCCCATACCAATTTTCGACCCTGTGAACAAATTAATATTGCGTCTTTTTAAAATGGTACAAACAGCCACTGGTTTACAAGTTTCCAAACTGGAAACTTTATACAATTGACTATGGACTTTATTTTGCTTAAGATAAAGATTCACATTTTGTGGTAACTTGACGTGTGGCTGTCTGTACTGTGTATACTGTATTTTTTTTTTCAATAAAATTTTCGACATTTTAATATAATTAAACGGTTTTATTTAACTTGCCCTGTTTGGGTCCAGTAGTAGAAATTTTAGCCCTTTCCTGTTGACTGATTGATCTGAAATTTGGTACACACCTATAGTTCTCATGACAATACACTTTTACATACGTATATTCAGTATATCTTTTACTGATTTTTATCAATACATAATTTATCGACATTTTAGTCTAATATATCATCGTCATCAGCCTATTAATGTCCCCACTACTAGGGTACAGGCGTTCCCTATGAATGGAATAGGGAGATTGGGCTATGACCCACCACGCGGGCCCAGTGCGGATTGGCGGGTGCTAACGACTGCAGGTGCAGCCGGGACCAACGGCTTACCGTGACTTCCGAAGCACGGAGGAACTCGAGATAGAAGATTTTTGGTCACCCATCCAATGACCGACCACTGCAAAAGTTGCTTAACTTCAACGATCGCAGCTGAAAGCGCTAACCACCTGCGCCATCGAGTCAATATATACAAAGCTGTATTAACTAATATCAACTTACTTGATAGTTAGCATCGGCGGGTGACAGAGTGAGCATGTTTTCTGCCGATGTCGGCGATTGTGAACGCAAAGGTGACGGTTCGCTGCCAGTCTCCGTACTACGCTCGTATAGACGTTCTAACGCGTTGCACACTTCTCGATATATTTCCATTCTATAAGATAGACGCATACATATTTTGAAAGTAAAGTGAATTAAAATATGAATATTATTATAAAACTAAAGCGTTAAACATCTGATATGTTTACTGTATAGTGCAAACAACGCACGGTTATCCACCTAGTTTTTATTCCCATCTGGAATGATCGTTTTTATCATTGCACTTAGTATGCCATGCATCATGCTCGTGAACGGTTACGCAAAAATACATATTTATTTTCTATGCACTCAACTTAGTACAAGATATAGATAGACATTCCTTTTAACTTTTATGTAAACCGAGCCTGTCATATTTTAAGAGGAAAAGGATTGAGGAAAAGAATGGACATTAATGGCTTATATTGGCATATAGAAAAACCAAAACAGCTATTAAACCAAAAATATAAAAAAAAATACGATACAGTAATAAAAATACAGGTTTTCAAAGATAAAGAGCTTTTACTTACAATATCTCATTTCATCCATTTCTTACCTTCTGTAATAAGCTAAGTGACCGTCGCGATCTTGCGCAGGTTGGTCGCTGCAATAGTAATGTAGCGCTTTGTCTTGGGGATCTATTTTGGAGGCGCATGCCACGCACAGTTCCACAACCCCAGAATAGAACCCAACCGATACTAGCTTGGAACATACTAATGGTAAATTGACGTTTGGTGCGACATCCTGAAACAATATTTTGTGTGCTTACATCTACAAGTAATGGACTACTATTTTGATTATTGATATGTTTCTACTTCATCATAAACTAAAATTAAACGCGTATGAAAAGTATTCCGTATTGTTGTAAGAGACACTAGGTCGAACAAAAAACAACGAAAATATCAGTTTACTAGTATTTCCCACTCTTCTCTTTATATTATTTTTTGTTGTTATAGCAACTGGAAATGTACTTTCCGTGTAAATTTAAATTTTTTACTTATATAGTTTATAAGATAGTGTTCGTGGGATAGTTATTTCGTGTAAATATTATTATAAATAATGTAAACCTAAAGTGAGAGAAGTATATAATTTCATGATCTTGAACTGTACGCGACGACCGAAGCGAGAGAAAATGAACTCACGACGATACGAGAGCAATGTATAAAAATGTATCTATAATTTCACATGAATTAGTTGTATACGCATTAAAAATATCATTCCCTTGTTGTCTTATTAGAATGAGTCGGATATCGCAACAATAGATAGCTCTGCCCATAGTAAACCATTGTAAAATTGATAGTTCAGAGCGATATTCCGCCCCGTTCTCTCCAATAATCTTATAAGACTTTATCTAAACGATCGCCACGACGCCAAGCGGTGGCGCGGGGAAACTAGTCAGAATACTGATAGTTCCGACCTATAGGAGGGACGGAGACAATAGGTTGTCCTTGTCACACGTCTTATAGGATTTTACCTGAGTTGACAATTTTCGATAATAGTATGTTTTATGATTTGATTGATTTATTTTATGTCTTATTAGATAGTAGGTAGTTATAGGAATAATATATCGAAGTTTTATATGAATCGTGTTAGTAGTTTAAGCGTAATTAAGGAAAATATCGGGAATAGTTTTTTATGAATAGTCAATAGGATATAGGTATAATTGTTATAATAATGATGTCATTTTATGTGTTTTTACTTCTTCTTTAAAATGGTGTATGATAATTAGACATTAAGCGAGTATAAGTAGGTTTTTTAAGACTTTTTAATTTGTAAACTTTATAGGGCCGTACAGCTGTTGTTTATTAATATTCTTGTAAGAAACTTGTTGTATTAGATAGGTAACACGTAGGGCTACGTAAATAAATAGGTATCGCATCAATAAGTGTAAAAATGTACTGTGTAGGAGAAAAAACATGTTTGTATAGAACCGTTTTCTGAGACATGTTGCGCTCCCCACCCGGCGCGCCCGGAGCGCGCGGGTGGGGCAGCGAAGCCCCGTGGCGGGGCGAAGCCCTATGGAGGGGGAAAGTATAAATATTGCGGAGACCTATTTTTTGCGCGCCACACCTAAAATATCGTGTTTACGGACACATAACTATGTTAAAAATATGCCCAAATGTATGCCCGATGTATGTACAATTAGTTTTAAGCTCGCACTATTGTAAATCTTGAGAAAATGAAAAATAAAGTATAGCGTGGGTGAGGTAATGGATCGCTGGCCAGCTCAGTCCTAGCATATAAAATTCGAGTCGGAACATGCCCCGACATGCATTCAGCGACAGGCGCTCCTACCCTAAGGAACAGGAAGAAACAACCAAGCGGTTCACTCTGGACCTGAAGCCTCCTCTCACCGGCCATCCATTATCAGCGCCCACCGATTTCTTCAATACCGAACACCAGGGGTTTTATTCGCCGAAACTACAGTCCACTACAGTCAAGACTCCTGCGTGTAACTTCCTCCACCCCCTCAGTACGAGTCGGTAACTGTCCGCTACTGCGACAGCCCGGCGTCCCGTACATTTTTTGGTCGCATCGAGCCGGATCTACAGCGCCGAGGAAGAATTGAAGAAAAATTATAGAAGATTGAAGAAAGAAGATCGTCGTGGTCAATTATAGAAGATTGAAGACAGAAAATTGAAGAAAAATTATAGAAGATTGAAGAAAGAAAAATGCCACGAACAAGATCTCAAGCTGACAAAATGGACCAGGCCGAAGAGGAGCGCATCGAGAGAAGCATCGAAGAGCCAGAGCGAACCGCTGCAGGAGAGAATCCTGTCCAACCCCCGTCAAGAGCGCCATCGGAAGGGAGCGACACCGTGACGCGGCCACCGTACCCGCTGCGCCACGACCAACCGCCGAAGTCGCCATCAGCTGCAATGACATCACACCGAACAGAATCGAAGATAGCTGCACGAAGAGCAGCAAAGAAGAAGCGCCTGGCGGCGTTATATGAAGAATTAGAGAAGACTATAAGGGCGAAGATACGAATGGAAGAGCAAGATAGCGAAGATGAGGACCAAGAGGACCCGCAAATAGAAGATAGAAGAGAAACCGATAGCACACATGGCACCGAGAATGAAGAACGCGTCATCACCTGGCTGGACACAGCGACAAAGGACACCACCCCCGACGGCGGCACCACCGAACCGTATAGAAGACCGACCGTCGAGGACACCGTACAGATTGGTGGGTCCGTCGCACCACTTGCCGAAGATCCAGTCCCAGGGGCGCTGAAGCCATGCATTAAGAAGAGTCCGCCGTCCCGCATTGATGAAGCTCAAGAACAAGTCGCCCCTACGTTGCCGCCACCGCCACCGCCGGTCCAGCAAGACAGAATGAACGTCTCCGAGCTGGCCGTCGCAATCAACGCCGCCGTCCGTGCCGCCGTACCGCCTGCACCGGGTCCACGCTACGTCGGAGAGCTGCCACCCTTCAGCGGCGCGCACACAGAATGGCTCACCTTCAGGGCGGCGTACCTAGAATCCGCAACCTACCTATCGTCGGCGGAAAACTCATCAAGATTAAGAAGAGCCCTCAAGGGGAAGGCAAGAGAAGCCGTGGGCAGCATGCTAATAAGCAACACTACGCCGGGCGACATTATGAAGCAATTGGAACACAGATTCGGCCGCCCGGACAACATCGCCGCAACCGAAATAGAGAAGCTGCGCCATTTACCCCGACTCACCGATTCGCCGAGGGACATCGTGATTTTTGCAAACAAAATCAAGAATAGCGTCGTCGCACTACAAGTACTGGGGCAAAACGAGTACCTACGTGCGCCGGACATCATGAAGACAATTATAGAAAAGCTGCCGTCGACTATCCGCTTCAGATGGAACGATTACGTCAACAATCACCGAATGCAAGAAAAAATGAAGACGGATCCGGAACTATTGATTTTCGCCGAGTTCATCGAAGTCGAGGCAGAGAATAACGCAAGATACGCCCCACCGGAGTACATTGGAAATGAAGAAAACTCCACAACAAGAAAATTTCGAACACATAACATCGAGGCGACACATAATAGAAGAGCGCCTGAAGATCGATTCCCATGTCCGGTATGCAAGAAATCCGGACATTCGACGGCCACCTGCTTTACGTTCAAGACCGCCGATCAAGATAGAAAATGGGAAATAGCGAAGAAAAGCAACCTTTGTTTCCGTTGCTTACAATACAGAAGCAAGATGCACAGATGCAAGACGCGAGCGTGCGAGAGGGACGGCTGCGAGCGCTCACACCACCCACTTCTTCACTACAAACCGAAGTCGCAACGTGAAGAAGAACCAGCCACGAGCAACACAGAAACCGAGAGGGTGGCCAGCACACACAGCAGCCGCAAGCGAGACGCGTACTTGAAGATAATTCCGGTTCGCATTACGGGACCGAGCGGACATTTTGATACGTACGCGCTACTGGACGACGGCTCTACAGTCACACTTATAGAAGAGAGGGCCGCCGAGAAGATAGGAGCCGAGGGACCTACCGAGCGACTGAAGATAGAAACGATCGACGCCAAGCTGCCAGAGACACAGTCGCGCCGGGTCACCTTCAAGATCGAGGGACAGAACAGAGGCTTCAAGGTGCAAGCGCGCACCATCGACCAAATGAAGATTTCACCGCAAACCATAGAAGAAAGACACTTATGGGGCTGCAAGCACCTGCGGGGAATCGAGAAGCACGTCACCTATGAAGACGCCCGGCCGACCATCCTCATCGGGCAAGACAACTGGCACCTACTCTTGGCCAGCGAAGTCCGCCGGGGGAATAGAAGACAGCTAGTGGCATCGAAGACGGCTCTGGGATGGGTACTCCACGGCACAGACTCGCGCACCATCGGTCATCGGGTTCATTTCGTGAACCACCTCACCGAAGAAACAGAAGATTCGAAAATGGATGAACTACTTCGTCATCACTTCGCATTGGAATCGATCGACATCGAAAAGAAAAAACCGCATTCCGATCCAGAGGAGAAAGCCATCAAGATGCTAGAAGAACACACCCACAGAAAAGAAGATGGAAAATTCGAAACCGCGCTACTCTGGAAGAAAGAAGACATCAAGATGCCCAACAATTATGAAAATGCGTACAGACGGCTGCTCACCACAGAGAAGAAAATCGACCGCGATCCACGCCTAAGGGGAAAATACATAGAACAAATGGACGCGCTCAACGAAAAGGAACCCGACTGGAAGAAAAATCAAAAATCGGCGCCGACGCATAAGAAGAAAACGACGCCAACCGTTCAAGAAAGAAAATTCATCGCAATCGACCGAAGATACATCGAACGCGCAGAGAAAATAATAGTTCGCGTAATACAACACGACGCATTTCAAGACGAGTTGAAACAACTGCGAGGGGGCGCCACCATCGCTACGAACAGTCGACTCCGCCCACTTTCGCTAATAGTCAACGACGGCGTGTTGTACCTACGAAGCCGGGTCAACGCAGCGGCGGGAGTAACCGAAACTCAGAAGACACCGGCGATACTCGACGGGAACCATCGAGCCACCCAACTGTGGATAGAACACACACATAGAAGCCTTCTCCACGCCGGGGTGGAAACTACAGTCAACGAGTGCAGACAACACTATTGGATTTTACGCATTCGACCCGTCACGAAACGAATAATAAGCAGTTGCATAAACTGCCGCATAAGGAGGGCGGCGCCACCGTCGCCACCTACCGGAGATTTGCCGCCGACGCGCCTCGCTCATCACCGACGGCCATTCACGTACACCGGA